CCATTGTTAATCTCCCAAAGTCACAAGTAGCATCATGTTACAGGTTTTCCTCAACTTACAACCTTTGTTTAGTGACTGAAGTTACAAGTGTGCTGAAAAAAAAAAGACTTACAACCTCTCCTTGCATTTACAACCATCACAGCATCCACATGGTCAAAATTTGGCCACCTGGCGATTGGCATGTATTTATCATGGTTGCAGCATCCTGAAGTCATGTGATCACACCATTTGCGACCTTGCCAGCTAGCTTCTGACAAACAAAGTCAATGGGAGAAGCTGGATTTGCTTAGCAACCACAAGATTCACTTAATAACGGCACAAGAAGGCACGAGAAGTTGTAAAATTGGACACGATTCACCTAACAACTACCTTGCATAACAATTCTAGTCCCAATTGTGGTAGTAAGTTGAGGACTACCTGTATACCTTGGCATTTTTCAGATATGTGGACTTCAGCTCCCAGAATTTCCCAAATAGCATTCTGACTGGGGAATTCTGGAAGTTGAAGTCCACCCATCTGAAAATAGCTAAGGTTGAGAAACCCCGGATTAGAGCAAAGCAAATGTTGTCCCTGTCTTTAAAAAGAGAACAAAGGAGAATTCAAAGAATTGCAGACCAGTCTGCCAGACACCTACAGTATGTCTGGAGAGTGCAGATCTTAAAGTTATTTTAACTGTAAGGATCTTGAAAACAATGTTCATCAGGGGATTATGAAACTATTCTTATTTTTTATGGGACAACTTGGAAAAATGCTATAGGCATATATAGACACCAGCCTGAAGATGACAAATGTGACTTCGTCGAAACGTCGCCAAGACACTTCTAATTCTACGCGGGAGAAAACCCGAATAACTAAAGACCTACATACACCCGCGAAAACCTCAGAAAACATACATATATACATATATATGTATGTATGTATGTATGTGTGTGTGTGTGTGTGTTAAATTTGGATTGCTAACAAAGTTTATTTGATAGAGTGGTGTTCTGAGTGGCAAGATAGTTAAGAATAGGCTGGATGACATGAGAAGAATAGATATATCACTGCCTAAAATACGTAGAATACTCATTAACGGGGCCTCAACACATTAGAGGGGGATATCAAGTATGGTGCTATAAGTTAAGTCCTGGTCTATGTATTTCTGAGCATTTTTATTTGAAGTCTTACATGAAGAGGTCAAGGGAATGGCAAGATTTGCAGATGATGTAATTAGGTGAGATGGTTTTCTAGAAGACTAAAACAATTCAAAATGATCTTGATGAAATAGAGAAATGAGCTGAGAATAAGTTAACAGTTAAGTACAAAGGTATACATGTAATAATACATATTAAAATTGCCCAAGTACAGAATGGGAAATAACCTGGTTTGGTAATAATTACTGTGAAAAAAATAAGCCTTGCATTAATAGTTGATTATCAACTGAATATTAGTCAGTCGAGTGATATGACTGCCAAAAAGCTAAATGCACTTTGAGCTGGGATTAACAAAAGCATTGTTTCTAAATCATAGCCCCCTAAGCCAAGATCATTTTAAATAAAATACTCAGGCAAACAAAGTAGAGATCCATAGCTCTTCTTCACCTTCTCTGTTACTGCTTATTCATTTATCAAGTATTTTGGCATGCAAGATATGTGGAAGTCATTACTTGGTTTTATAGGGTACGTAAGTCACAAAAAGCTTTTTTAAATCCTAGAAATAACCATTTTGCTAGGAACCGTGACTATTTTCACTGCTGCAATTGCTACTTTTCCATTTCTCAGAATGTGGAATAGTAGGCAGAAGCAAAGTATAAGTGGTGGTGAGCTGCTGGAATAGCTGAAACCTGAGTGATACTGAATTCACATGTTCTACTTATATGAAACCTATTGCAGAGTGAGCTCTATGGAAGAGCAAGCTGCCAGCCACAACTATGAGAGAGCTATTATATTTATTCTGTATTTTCCAACCTTTTTTTATTATTTCCTTTCGTATGTGTGTGTGTGAGAGAGGGAGAGGGAGAGAGAGAGAGAGAGACAGAGAGAGAGAGAGAGAGAGAGAGAGAGAGATGCTTATGTCAAAATGCAATATAAAAATGCTATAGTCAAATGTTGCATGGTGGTTTGGCCAGTGAATCCAAAGATTTAAAATAGCTTAAGAAATCTGTACAATCTCTTGACATGTTTTCATACATGAAGGCACATCTGAAAGTGTCTTAATTTTAGATTGCCAAATAGCGTCTTTTCAATGACTTCCTTGTTTTGCTATGTAGAACAAGAGTTGCTTTCATTCCGAGTGTCCTTTGTAGAAAAGCTTGTGTATGCTTTGCTAATTGGAGCAGGTGACATAGAGACAAAAGAGTGCTGGTAATTTACTGAAATATTAATACGCTTCATTGTTCTTCTGTTTGTTCTGAATGTTAGTAAAGCATAACACAAAGCACTAGCTTGATGGAGACACACTCCTTCTGCAATATGTAAGTTGTGAGGGCAATTTTTTTTTTAGTAAATCTAAATTTAAAAGAATGGATAAAGACATAAGTGGTACATACAATAGATTTGTATGTGCCTAAGCTTATTTGGATAACATATTGCTGTATTCATTTTAATTAGTGCTGAACCTGAAGGCTTTCCCAAATAATCTAAAATAATTCTTTAAATGCAAAATGAAAATGAAACATATTTTGGCAAATTCTATTGTGAAACAGAGGAATGCCATAGAATACTTGGAGCAGGCTTTGATCACTGTATATTTAGTCACAGTGTTGGTATTTATTGAGAATTTGGACATTATTAGATTAAATATCTCCCCTAATCAACCTAGAGTTGAGAGGATTTATAGAGGGACGCTTACTCAGTGTAGGATTCATGAGACCATTTTGGACGCATGAACATCCAGTTTCTGTTTGAAGACATTTAGAGCAGAACTTATTACATCATTTGGTAACCTGACAAAGTAGTCAAGAAATTCACCTTGATGGATAGATCAGGTCTTCTTATAGTTTTGATCCACTGATTCTGGTCCTACCCTCTCCCCTTAATTGTTTTTTGTATACACTAAACTTACCCAGTTTTTTAACCATTCTTCATAGGGCTTGACTATCAAACACGTCATCAACTTGGTAACTTCCTCCACTCTCCTTTTGAACTATGGAGTCCAGAACTGGACACAGTACTTCAAATGAGGTCTAACCAAGTCAAACAGTTACTAGTTGTTATCTGGACTTTACGGTTTGGAAAATGCACATCGAGATAGCATTTGCCTTTTTATCAGCTTCATCACACAGCACCCTATTTTATCCTTACGTTTCACCTCTTTCCTACCTTTATGCAGAACTTTGCATTTCACCCTGTTGAAGACCATCCTGTTGATTTTAGTCCAATGCTCAAACCGTTTTGAATTTTCTCTTGCGTTTAAAGCAGGCACGTCCAACATTTTGGCTTACCTGGGCCACATTGAGTGAAGAGGAATTTTCTTGGGTTGCATATAAAATATATTTCGCTGAAAATCATATAATGATGTTAAAATTTATGATCTTGTGGATCTGCATTACTAGCTGTTCAGGGCCGCATGTGGCCCATGGGCCATGGGTTGGACACACCTGATTTAAAATAATAAGCCATCCTTCCCAATTTTCTGCCTTTTACAAGCTTTGTAAGTGTCCCCTCAACTCTCCCATCAAGATAATAGATGAAACTGATGAGCTGTACAGAGTCCAGGTACAGAGTGCTGTTGTATTCCACTTAATACAGGTAACCCTTGACTTAGGACCACAATGGAGCCCAGAATTTCGGTTGTAAGCCATTGTGATTGTAATTTGAGGCAGACCACTTGAACAAACTCAGTTTTATAATGATATTTACTGTGGATATAAGGCAAGTTACCAGTCATAAAGTGAACCTTGAACATGATGCAAAGACATTATTTGCTTGAAATGGCAAAAAATGCCAGAAACGGGGGGGGGGGGAAATATTGCAAATCAGGGTCACATGACTTTGGGACACTGCAACTGGTTGTAAATGTGAGCCTGTTGCCAAGCACCTAAAAAGCAATTTTGTGACCATAGGGCAGGGGGCGGCAGTATAACTTCAAGGATAGGCCATTAGTAACTTTTTAAAAGTGTGTCATAACTTCAAATGGTCATCAAACGACTAGTCATAAATTGAGGACTACCTGTACTTTTCACCAGGCTGAACTGGAGCCATTAAAGGCAGTCTTGGCACAATTGTATGATTCTATCTATGAAGTGATTCTGTAATTCTAATACATCAAGGGTGTCAAACTGCCGGCCCGCGGGCCGGACGCATCATGCGGAAGCCACGCCCACCCCATTGCCGGCAATGGCAAAACCGTCCCAATACGTTGCGCGACGTCACGTGACGTTGCGAGTTTGACATGTCTGTAATACATTGTTCTTGACGTCAATATTAGTTGGAACTATCTCATGCTAGAGTAGGATATGTAGAGATTCATTTTGATTTTAGACTTCCTCAGTACATAAGTAACATTTCTTATTTTATAACTGACTGCCCTGTTTAATTGAAGTTTTATTAAACAGGTAGATGAATACGTGCATAGAAAGGTGAAAGCAGTATAATAGCTAAGGCAGTCTTCTAATCTGATGCCTTCTGGATTTGTTTGACTAACCTCCATAACTGAGTGGGAAAGTCTGGTTTAGAATGCCAAGTTAGATTAGTATGTAACTTAACTTTCCCTAAATTAAATTTCCCTACTGTGGCATGCAATTCACTAGAGAGACATTAAGAAATTAAGACACTATCAGCCTAATCAAGCTCACAGGAATGCTGTGAGTATGCAGGAATGCAGTGGAATGTGTTTCTTAGAAAAAAAGCAGGACATCACATAACCAAAATATCCATTATCTTAATTATAAGTTAGTGTGTATGTCTGTTCCAGATATTACTTGCCTTTCTGAATGTTCTATTAAATTGTAACAGTGTTTGATTTTTTTAAAAAAAAGGAAACTATAGAAAAGATAAATAATTATTTAAATATAATTTTAGATCTCTTGGAAAAGTCCCGTGTTGTTAAACAGCCCAGAGGTGAAAGAAATTTCCATATTTTCTATCAAATTCTGTCTGGAGGATCAGAAGATTTGCTCAGTAAGTACAATTTTGGAGAATATTGAAGTTACAACTGCATATGGAACTAGATAATTTATTTCAAGCTGGCATAACTAATGTTGGTATTCTGTGCATTTTTTATTTAAATCCACACAAGACTGTCATTGCTACTATATAAAAGCAATAATATGAATTTGCTAGTAAAAAGATATATTTTAATTTTAACAGAAAAACTTAAGTTGGAGATGGACTTCAGTCGATACAATTACTTGGGTCTGGGCTCTGCAAAAGTAAATGGAGTAGATGATGCTTCAAACTTCAGAACTGTTAAGGTAAGGATTCATGCCTTTCTGCTACATTCAGTATTGGATTAATTATTGTTTTTTACAAATACAGGTAGTCTAGAATAGAATAGAGCTGGAAGAGACCTTGGAGGTCTTCTAATCCAGCCCCCTGCTCAAGCAGGAGAACCTATACCATTTCAGACAAGTCCCTGTCTAGCCCCTTCTTAAAAATCTCCAGTGATGGAGCGCCCACTATTTCTGGAGGCAAGGTGTTCCACTGGTTAATTGTCCTCACTGTCAGGCAGTTTCTCCTTAATTCCAGGTTGCTTCTTTCTGATCAGTTTCTAACCATTGTTTCTTGTCCTGCCCTCTGGTGCTTTGGAGAATAACATGAGCCCCTCTCCTTTGTGGCAGCCCCTCAAATACTGGAACACTGCTATCATGTCTCCTCTATTTCTTCTTTTCTTTAGACTAGCCAAACCCAAGTCCCGCAGCTGTTCTTCTTATGTTTTAGTCTCCAGGCCTTTGATCATCTTAGTTGCTCTTCTCTGAATTTTTTCCAAACTCTCAACATCTTTTTTGTGATATGGTGACCAAAATTGGCTGCAGTATTCCAGGTGTGGTCTTACTAGGGTTTTATAAAGCGGTACTAATACCTCACGTGATCTTGATTCTATGCCTCTGTTTATACAACCCAGGATTGAATTAGCTTTTTTGGCAGCAGCTGCACACTGCTGGCTCATAGTCAAGTGATCGTCCACTAGGACTCCAAGGTCCCTCTCACAGTTGCTGTTTTTAAGCCAGGTCTCGCCTAATCTGTACTTGTACCTTTGATTTTTCCTGCCTAAATGTAAAACTTTGCTTTTCTCCACATTGAAACTCATTTTGTTGGATAGGGCCCATTGTTCAAGTTTGTCAAGATCTTTTTAGATCCTGAGTTTGTCTTCTGGGGTGTCGGCTACTCCTGCCAGTTTGGTGTCATCTGCAAATTTGATGAGTTCCCTTTCAATTCCCTCATCTAAGTCATTGATGAAGATATTGAAGAGTATTGGGCCTAAGACAGAACCTTGTGGTACCCCACTGCTTACTTCTCTCCATGTGGATGTAGTGCCATTGAGGACTACTCGTTGAGTACGGTTTGCCAGTCAGCTACAGATCCATCTGGTGGTGATGTTGTCTATTCCACCTTTTTCTAGCTTACCAAGAAGTAGGTTGTGGTCTACTTTATCAAATGCCTTACTGAAATCTAAGTCTAGTCCCCAACTTATGACCACAATTGAGCCCAAAATTTCTGTTGTTAAGTGAGACATTTGTTAAGTGAGTTTGGCCCCATTTTACAACCTTTCTCGCCTCAGTTGTTAAGTGAATCACTACAGGTGTTAAAATAGTAACACGGTGGTAAAATGAATCTGGCTTCCCCATTGGCTTTGCTTCTCAGAAGATAGCAAAAAGTGATCATATGACCCGAACTACAACCGTCATAAATATGAGTTAGTTGCCAAGCATCTGAATTTTAATCATGTGACTATGGGGATACTGCAACCGTCATAAGTGTGAAAAATGGTCATAAGTCCCTTTTTTCAATGCTGTTGTAACTTTGAACAGTCATTAAATAAACTGTTGGAAGTTGAGGACTACCTGTAACTCAAGGTAGCGAACATATCCAACATACTTTCCTCCTACTATTTTCCCCACAACAACCCTGGGAGGTGAGTTGATTGAGAAACAGTGACTGGCGCAAGGTCACCCAGCTGGCTTCCATGCCTAAGGTTGAACTAGAATTCCGGGTCTCCCAGTTTCTAGCCTGGTACCTTAATCACTAAACCAAACTAGTCTATTCTTGCAACTAATGATGAGATCTGTTTGACATTCATTCAAGCAGATGGGAATATTACAGGTGGAATTGAGATGGCCTACTCTTTGGCATTGATCAGTGATGAATACACATGGCCTCCAGGTTCTCTTCCACCTCTGAGTCTATCAACCTCCTTTATTTTTACAGCATTTCTTATGACTTCTAGCCAGCCAGAATAAATAATCTCCCTCTTGCTAGCCTGATTGTGTTGAAATGCCATGGATCAGGAGCATAAAACTATGAGAATGAAAATCAGTTGTGGATGCTACATTTTAAAATCTCCCTGCTTTCATATATTTTATTCAGATCCTAAATGAAAGTTAACATCAGCTAAGAGTAGTTAGATTGTAACAGATGTACTCAGATTAGGAATGTTTGACTGTTCTTAATAATTTTTCTATTGAAAATGCGTTACTACATTGATTTATTGAATATAGAAGGGATCTATACTTATAAATATATTCACATTTTTTAAAAAAAGAAACCAAACAGTAATTAAAACATTTAACTGTGAATTAAATACCTGTAATACATGTAGGTTAAATAAAATTCTAGGGTGACTATAATATGAGAGCCATTTGGGCCAGCTGAGAGATATAAATTTGAATCTTAGCTCTCTAAATAAAAATCTTGTGTGAATTTAAAAAAAACTCCTGTAATCTATGCACCTCTTTCCTTATGTTCCTATTTATACTCTAAAGCAGGCATGTCAAACTTGTGATGTCGCGCTATGTATTGTGACTTTTTCCCCATTGCTGGCAATGGGGTGGACGTGGTTTCAGCGTGATGCCTCCAGCCCGTGGGCCGGCAGTTTGACATGCCTGCTCTAAAGCCTTGTCCTACTTGTCTTCTCATGCTGAAGCTGCCCCCTGGAAGCAAGACTTTCCAATATTAGCCTTATTTTTTACATTCTGTTCTATAAGGTGTACCTAGTACCATCCTTACTGTTCTTTCAGTGCCAGGCAAGGGTGCTTTTAATGCACTAAGACCTTTTCATAATGTGCTAATACTGCCTTGATTTTTAACTTACCATTGCTTTTACTTTCTGTTTCTGCTTTAATGTTTATCTTGATTTTATTTTGTACTGTTCTTATACAAATATTTCACTGTATGCTTTTATTAATGAAAATGAGGTAGAAATGTAAATATATACTACTTAGTTGGCTGTGAAAATAAAATAAATTGGGTGCAGTGGGAGACAACTACCAGGAAGGAGGAAAAGGTGAAAATGTAATAAATAAAACATGATTTCCGTCTTCTAGAATGCAATGCAGATCGTGGGATTTATGGACCATGAAATCCAGTCAGTATTTGAAGTTGTTGCTGCTGTTTTAAAACTGGGAAACATTGAATTTAAACCAGAATCTCGTGTGAATGGATTAGATGAAAGTAAAATCAAAGATAAAAATGGTAATTCAAATTATAGAGTTTAATTGATTAATGTTTATCTTCTCTTCATTAGCTTACAGTACTACCTATTTTTGGGCTTCTTTCTAAATCTATTAATTTCAAGGTTAACGACAGAATTTTTATTGCAGAATCATTATTAGTATATTAAGTATTTTTCTGTCAGTTTGAAATTGTTCAGAATTCTTTATCAGACAAGATTCTTTTTAAAAAAATTTCTTACATACTATTGTTCAAGTTCATTGAAGGTCTTCTCGCATGTACTGTATTTAGTATGTAGAAGATAAGAATGTACAAAATAAAAACCACATTTTCTTATACAACATAACCTTTTTCCACTTTATCCAGTCTTAAAATTACTGACTTAATTTTAACTATTTAATGGACTTCAGCACTATCTGATATTGGAAACGATACAAAAGTCTTGAACTACTGCACTTTATGCACTCAAGAATGAAAGAAAAATAGATTGGACAGAAAAACAAAGGCTGGATAACATTGTAGTCACAGAGTTTGAATTTAATAATAATGTCTTAAAATGGAATAAGGGATGGAATGAAACATTCGGATTAGACTCTTTCAGATCCTTGGGGTTTTTTTAATTTGCATCTTGTCCTCTATCTAGAAGTGCTGGGATGAAGCAACAATAAATTTAGCATGTTTGTTAAAAATATAGCGTTCAATTTTCACTCAAAAGTATTTTCATCCTTGGTAGGTAGAAAGTAGCTAAAGTAGGTAGTTTTTGTATTTAAAAAAGCTACAGATAATTTTAGATGGCATGGCAGATATTTAAAAATACATTTTAGAAAGGAAATCAGTAAAAACTACACTTGTGTGCAAAGCCAAGCATCCCTTGTCAAATTGTATGTTTCAGTGAATCACTAGGTAAACAGAAGGCAACACACCCTCTACAATGGTATAAAGTTAGATACAACATCATTCTGCAAATTTGAGTGCATGCTTACTATTTCTATGCAGTTGTTTGCAGAGTCAAAATAAGGAAATAAAGAATAAGAGAGGTGAAGCTGTTTTGCCTAGCCAGTTGCTAGAAGAAAGTACTGTTCAAGTGAATGAATATTTTCTCTCTCTTGGAAACACAATAAAACTCACCTTAAACTGTGTATGCTTCAAGTTATGATTCTTCTTTTCCACAGAGCTTAAAGAAATATGCGAGTTGACGGGCATTGATCAGTCAATTCTGGAAAGAGCTTTTAGCTTCCGCACTGTTGAAGCCAAACAGGAGAAAGTATCTACAACTTTAAATGTAGCTCAGGTAATGCCAGATGCTTATAGTAGTAAGTTCTTTTTTTTTTCTTTCAGTAACAGATACTGCAAAAAAGGCTTAGGCTAGTATTTTTTTAAAGACTTTCTCTAAAGCACATTTGCAGACCGTGAGTGGCTATTGATTCTGGTCACCTTCTGCTGTGCCAATACCAGAAAACATTTTAATCAAGCTTAAATGTTTTTGATTCTTGTTTTCTTTTTTAATTAGGCCTATTATGCTCGGGATGCTCTGGCAAAGAATCTTTACAGCAGACTGTTTTGTTGGCTTGTTACCAGAATCAATGAAAGCATTAAGGTATGGTTCATCAAATTGCAATAAAATTGCAATGGTAGCAGATAAAATGAACGATCATTTATTTTTGCATATAGGCAATATGTATGTCACGTAATACTTTTTTTTAACTTACAGTACTTTTTATTTATCTGTCTTACTGCCATCTATTATTAAACATGAAAATAATTTTTTCCACAGGCACAGTCCAAAGTAAGAAAGAAAGTAATGGGAGTTTTGGACATCTATGGCTTTGAAATTTTTGAGGTATTTTCTTTACTTCAAACTAATTAGCAAAATATATAATTATTTACTTATTTGTACCCCCCCCCATCTTTAAAAAAAGGTTTTAAAATAAGCATATAAGGTCAGGAATTAATTAACATAAGGGGGAAAATCTCAGTAAATCATGATTGGTTAAACTGTTTGGGATGAAACACGTTAAATTTTGACCAGATATACATTCAGATTAAATTTTAAAAAATTGGCAAACAAAAATGTTGCTGCTAGCAAACGTAAGGCATATATTGAAGCTCATTTGCATTATAAGTCACTCCCCTTTGGTTGTATTTACTCCTTTATTGGGTGAGATGGAAGAGAGAATACTGCCAAGACATTTTGAAACACCCAAATAATTAATTGGCAAATTGTTTAATTTTTTTTAATTGAAGAATCATTTCTCTTCAATAATTCCTCAGGTAAGTTTAGATATTTGTTGCATGCATCATGTTTGCTTAGAAGCCATTCCTGGATAAACCTTTGTATACATAAGGATCATGTGACTTCTATGACTGAAAAAGTTGTCTGTGTATTCAAAACAGATTATACTTGTTTTAATAAGGTTAAAGGGTAAATCTAAGATACTTGCTGAGAGCATGCTAAATACAGAACTATAATGATTTTCCAATTAGTACAATGCATTCAGAAAGTATTCAGACCCCCTTTACTCTGGTCAATTTTGTTATGCTGCAGCCTGATTCTACAGTTGTTAGAATTCATTTGTTTCTCATTAATCTCCACTCAGTACCCCATAATGACAAAGTGAAAAGAAAATTTTAGAAATGTCTGTAAATTTATTTTTTAAAAAAACCTGAAATATCACATTGGCGTAAGTATTCAGACCCTTTACTCAGTACTTTGTTGAAGCACCTTTGGCAGCAATTACAGCCTCAAGTCTTTTGGGGCATGATGTGACAAACTTTGCACACCTAAAGTGGGAGATTTTCTGCCATTCTTCCTTGCAAATCCTCTCACGCTCAGTCAGGCTGGATGGCTATGGTCAGCAGACAGACATTTTCAGGTCCCTCCAAAGATGTTCAATAGGGTTCAAGTCGGGCTCTGGCTTGGCCACTCTAGGATATTCACAGAGTTGACCCTAAGCACTCCTATGTTGTCTTGGCTGTGTGCTTAGGATTATTGTCATGTTGGAATGTGAACCTTCGGCCAAGTCTGAGGTCCTGAGCTCTGTGGAAAAGGTTTTCATTGAGGATATCCCTGTACTTTGCTCCATTCAGCTTTCCTTCAACCCTGACCAGTCTCCCAGTCTCTGCTGCTGAAAAACACCCCCACAGCATGATGCTGCCACCACCATGCTTCACTGTTGGGATGATATTGGGCAGGTGATGAGCGGTGCCTGGTTTCCTCCAGACACAACGTTTAGAATTGAGGCCAAACAGTTCAATCTTGGTTTCATCAGACCAGACAATCTTGTTCCTCACTGTCTGAGAGTCCTTCAGGTGCACGGGGATAGCGCAACAGCGTCAGATTTGAGGACCAATCATAAGTCTCCTCATTCAGCACCATTGTAACTACAAAAGGTTGTTGAACGAGTGGTTGCCAAGCGAGGATTACCTGTACATGTGCAATATGTTGTAAAGGGCTCTTATTTTTCTTTTTCTTTTTTAAATCTTGAATAAGACAAAGCATTAGATATGAAATGTCAATTTTATAATTGCTTCACTTAGTGATGGAAATTCTAGTTCCAATTTCCATCGTAACTCAAGGACTACCTGTAGCTTTCTCTTAAAATTAAGGAAATACTTAGCTTGAAGAAACAATGCACCTTACTATTCTCAGTAGGGTGATGCCGATTTAATTAAATTCACTGCAGGTTCTTTATGTTAGAAATAATTAGTTTTAGTTATGTGAATGTTTTCATGTTCCTTTAAAAAAAACATTGGCGGTTCCTTGCTGAATGCTATTACTATTTAGAGTTGCAGGTTTATATGATTCTTATCCAATTCACTTTACATCCATTTTATTTAAATGAAAGCAGTGGAAAAAATCTATGATACTTATATATAATACTTTACCCTGAATAAAGAATGCATTATTAATGCATTATTAATATAGGGATCCATATTTTTCAGATCTATCCATCTTCTTTGGAAGATAAATGTATGCTTCAGTTTTCTTTTTTGTGACAGTTTTTCCAATTGTGCTTCTAACTTAGAAAATTGAAAATTACTATCTATGAACTGTGTTAACAACTTACATAGCCATAGCTGCCATTTGGAGGAACAGCAATTCTTTGCTTAATAATGAAAATATTCTACTGTCTTTTTATATGACTGTAAAGACTTGGTCTTGTCATTGTATTTGGAGATTGTGTGTGCAGAAAAACCTGTATAGTATTGATTACTGTTGGAGGTTCTTGTTGTAGCTCGACTATTGTATTGTTAATTTTTTATATTGTTTTTATATATGGTTCTTGTATTATTTTTTGTTTTAGATGGTTTTATTGCTGCAAAGCCATCCAGAGTCATGTTTTTGAGATAGGTTATGTAAATTAAAATAATATTTACAGTTATTTATTTATTATGTCCCCTGTTGTGTTTTTTTGCAGTGTGTTACTTGTGCTGGTCTTAAGAGATATTGGTTTCTTCAGACAAGTAAAAAAAAAACCCTCTTAAATCTTAAGTTGTGTTTTGTTACCAATACCAAAAAGAAAGTGATTATATGTGTAACTGAAACCCACCGGGCAATATTCAGAATAAATTGATATGATATGATTATCATGAGATAATAAATTATAAAATTGGCTTGCAGGCTGTACGTCTTTTGATTTATAACTCTTCCAAGTGTGATTAATGACACTTTTTTCTTTTATTGGATAGGATAACAGTTTTGAACAGTTTATTATTAACTACTGCAATGAGAAACTGCAGCAGATCTTCATTGAGCTTACTCTAAAGGAGGAGCAAGAAGAATATATACGAGAGGTAATAAATTTGTTTCCTATGTAACTTCTCATTCCTACCATAACCAGCTTCCTCTATTTGTCTTTATTAACTTCTGGAAAAGTTGTTCCTTTCCAATCTTGTAAGATTTGAAATTATTCCATTATACTGACAGCTGTTAATGAATCATAAGGGTTACCTCTGAAACAAAATTAATGATCCAAAAGGCACAAATGAAAATTGTAAGGGTTGGCAAAAGGTTTGTTGAAGTTCAAGAATTAGCAAAGCATTAGATTATACTGGAAGCATAGATGGGAACATCCAGAATATTGCATAGGTAATATAAAATGTGTTTTGGTGATGCTCGGTACTACACAGGACTTGATTGATGACATTAGAAAAATTAGCCACTACCAAACTGTAATCTATTCCATTCTGATGGAGTCATTTAAAGTGAGCATCTGTCCTGAAGATGAAGGTTAAAGGCAGACAAATCTCAGGGGTTTGTGAGGTGAAACAGTCATTTCCTTAGAAACACTCTCAAGATGTGCAAAGTGTTTATTGACCTAAGGCTTTGCACTGAAGGAATTTGGATCTGTTTCAATTAAGTGCATGGGAAATTGACACAGATTGAGGAATGGAATGGAAAACACATCTGGCAGTTATTCAATAATACTCAGTTTGGTTTAGCAGCATTAGCATTTTCCGCATTTGTAACAAATATAAAACTCCCATCTGAGGCTTCTGAGGCTCCAAAAGAATAATTGTGATTGGGAGAGAGAGGATGCAAAAACAACATCCCAAAAACTCTTTCTTTCCCTTTTTTGAGACATATACGCTTTTATCAGAAGATTTAAAATAATTTTAATTGCCATTTTTTTTCAGAAAGAATATATAAATAGAGGTTTATCTAACGATAGCAATTGTTTTCTTTACATCTTCTTCTTGTTGTGAACCCTTTAATTTCATATAATCTAAAAATTAAAGAGCATTAGCACCTAATGCTAATAAGGAAAAAGTACATTGAAATGCCCTTACAATCTTAATTTGCAGTAGTAGTTTCCTTAGGATTTAGAAAAACTGGGTATTCTAGGCCATGACAATTTACTAAAACGTGCTTGAATTAAGGCAAGCAGTGGATTTTTTAAAGAAGCCAGATATTGCTACTCTTCTTTCTATACCTAAAAGAATTCTACTACATGATTAACTATTGAGAAGAGAATATAAGGCAGTCATAGTATCCCTCCGCAGTTTTAGAATCTCTGTTTTAGTAAATTAAATTGTCTGGATTTATAATCCAGAAAATAGTTTGTCTTCTATGGCTGTTTAAGTAAGGTTTATGTATTGTCAGCTTTAAATATCTTACTACCTTATATACTCTATTTTACTTAAATCATGTCATATCCCTTGATGGTATTGCATAACAGTGACATATTCCAGGCTGGAGAGCATGGAATAAGAAAGGGAAGCATATTGAACAGAGACCTATGCAATTATTTTTAGATTAGTTCAAGAGTATTCTTTAGGAATACTCAGGGAGTATAGTACAAAGCTAATTTTAATGTTTTTCAGAGTCTTTAATTGCATAAGGAAAAAATAAACATAATGGTGGAGAACCACTCAGTTACAGATATCCAATAATTTTTGTTATATACATTTTGACTAAGTGTTAGCTTTTGGTTATGTTAGTTCTATTGAACGTGGTAGAGCTGTGCATAGTTGGGGAACCTATATATTTGTGGTGTTGTTAAAAATTATCTGGCTATATTTTTTCTCAGCTTTTCAACCTTATTTTTATAGGGTATTGAATGGACTCACATTGAATACTTCAACAATGCTATAATTTGTGATCTTATAGAGAATGTAAGTCTTCCATGCAAAATTCATTTGAATTGATTTGTTGTTTATTGTATCTGTGTTTAATTTTTTTCTTTTTATAAAAAATTCAGCTGGCAGTGAATGGTATCGCTCATATACTACTGTTTGCACTTTTATTTACTTTGATACACAAAAAGTAGAAAGGAAAGAAATACAGGAAGGGAAAAAAGAAAACTTATATCAGAGGTATAGAAAGTTTTTAAGCAAGGCATTAAACCTTGATCCATTAATTAAGTGATGTATTTTGCCTTGCAACATATATATATATATAGTACCATTTGCTTAATAATGTCATTACTGAGCATATACGTTTTCTGAACTGTTATGTTACTTAGTGAATAACTGAATCTGAATCTGTCCTATCCATGTCCTTGTTTCTTATACATGTTATACAGTACATGTTCTTGAAATCTCTTGAGAATTTGCAGAACAGGGGTCCTTAGCCGATTCATTAAGTGTGAATCAGCTTTAAAATCAGCTTCAACCAGTGGAAAGTTTTTTGTCTTGACAGTCAGATAGAATGATTCATATTGGAATCAGTGTTGTTGTTATTGCATATCCTTTATTTAAATCTCCATGTGACGGTAATGTATGGCTTTTTTAAGTAAGCTATGATCCATCTTTATGATGGTACATCTATCTTCAGAAGAATGGCGAAAGATAGACGTTCACATCCTGGGAAAGTAGACAGGAAACCTCTTAGAAGGCTTGAACAGGAAGGTCCAATCTTAATATTTCCGTTTCATCTATGCTGTATGTTTTTTACAGCAATTATTTTGTATTCGGGTGAATAATATTTAGAAATATTATTTCTGCTCGTTATATTCTGTTCATAGTTTGCTTGAGGCTTGTTTACGTGATCTAAATCAGTAGATAAAAAAAATTGGGTTTATTGAAATCTGATTCACTTTTTTCATTGTGGTGCAATCAAGTGTAAATACTTCTTAAAACATATGATAGAATATTTATGTCCTAATAATAAAATGAACTGTTATATTACCCAACAGAACCAGAATGGAATAATAGCTATGCTAGATGAAGAATGTCTGCGGCCAGGGGCTGTTACTGATGAAACCTTCTTAGAAAAATTGAACCAGATCTGTGCTACTCACCAACATTTTGAAAGCCGGATGAGCAAATGTTCACGTTTCTTGAACGATACTTCCCTCCCACACAGTTGCTTCAGAATTCAACATTATGCTGGCAAGGTAAGGTATTCCAATAACCTTGAATATTTGAAAACATGTTTGCTTTTGACATTCCCCCCCATCAAAAAGATAAAGGTTTAAATCCCATGAAATATTACCCCAATAGGATTGACCTTCCCCATTCGCTTCAGCAGAAGGGTATGTTGCGGAGAAGCAACTAGAACTAAGGAGAAACTTCCTGACAGTTAACCAGTGGAACAACCTGCCTCCAGAATGCTCCAACACTGGAAGTTTTTAAGAAGAGACTGGACAGCCATTTGTCTGAAATGGTATAGGGTTTCCTGCCTGAGCAGGGGTCCAAGGTCCCTTCCAACTTTTATTATTATTATTATTATTATTATTATTATTATTATTATTATTATTATTATTATTATTATTATTATTACTCCATTGGTCCAAGAATTACAGCTGGTGGGGTCCAGGAGCAGAGCCTTTTGTGCTGTGGCCCCCACCCTATGGAACATTATGCCCCTCAAGATGAGATCCACTTGTCCTTCTGAAAGGGCCCCAAAACCAGGTTCTGCCAATTGGCTTGGGAGCCTTCCACCCTGAAGGTGGTTGGTGGAATAAGATGAAGATCTCACTTCCACCCTATTTTTGTTTGGGTTCTTGGTTTTTGTTAACTTTTAATATTTTTATTGTTTTATATTCTTGTTTTATGATATTGTAAGCCTCTCAAAATCACTTGACCATGAGATGGGTGGCATATAAATTTAATAAATAAATAAAAGTAGGGTAGACCTGAGAGACACAGCTTGCATTGATGAGTTGCCTTTGGTGGTTTTCATTCCAATACTTCCACAAATATTACAGCAATTTCAGACCTGAAGCGAGATGTACAATTTAACATCCTTTCTTAGAGTAGAAACTTCTGAACTACAATAAGGCCTCAAAGTGATGGAATTTTATTATAGTTAAGGTTGGCTATACAAAGATAATCATTCGGATAATGTGATCAATTTGTTCTTGGTGTGTTTTTCCCCTCCCAGAATTGATTACCTTTGCTTATTTAGATTCTTGGTTTACTGTTTTAGGTGATGTATCAGGTAGAAGGATTTGTTGACAAGAATAATGACCTGCTTTACCGTGATCTGTCCCAAGCTATGTGGAAGGCCAACCACTCCCTCATTAAAGCACTATTTCCAGAAGGAAACCCTGTCAAGATTAATTTAAAGAGGCCACCAACAGCAGGTTCCCAGTTCAAAGCCTCTGTGGCAACATTGATGAGGAATTTGCAAACCAAAAATCCCAATTATATCAGGTAAAGTTCAGGAAATGAAGTAAATTGTGCTTGCAACAATGGTAATCTTTAATTCATACTCCAAAGGACAGCATGAAAGAGAGTGATTTATTTATATCAGCTGAATATAATTTAGTTGGAAAAGAAGTATTTTTTTAATTAATTGACTTTTATATGTCCCAGCTTTAAATTACAAAAAGACTTTTGTGAATGTTTATAGTATCTCAACTGAGTGGATATGATTGTGCTTTATCTGATCTTTTTCCCCCCAAAGATGAAGGGGAGAATCTCACCATAGAGTAATGGTTCTTATTGCTCTATATTTATAAAATTACTGCAACCATAATTGATAGTTTGCTATAATCAGATTTTTTTGTTGTGCTGTAAATGATACTTCTTTTTGTGCTGAAGGTTTTACTTTATGGTCATCTGGGGCATCAGTATTTTACTATGGAATTGTTTTCATGGTAGTTCTAATTCAGCTAATAAGACAGTAGGACTTATCCATTTAAAAATCTGACTTTTATTAACACTGACTCAAACTAAATAGAACAACCATGGATTCTTTTGAATGTTGAACGTATCTATAACATAATATATCAGATTGAGTCTCCCATCACATTGAACCATGCTTCACACATTACATTTAACCAGAAATCAGAGTTGGGCCAACCAAGAGCCATGTGTGCCTTCAAAAACACTTATATTATAGTTTCCAGAATCTCCCAGGATTGTGCAGCTGAAATTCAACAGTAACTTGCCAAGAGATTTAAGCAGGGCTTTTTTTGTCATAGAACGCCCAGAACGGAGTTCCGGCACCTTTTTTGGATGGAACCTTGTAGGGGTAGACAAGGTGGTTTTATGACGTGTGTGAGTTCCAGCACCTTTTTTTTTTTTTTTTTTAGAAAAAAAGCACTGGATTTAAGTACAACTGATTAAAAAAAAAAAAGTTAGCCCTGCCCACACAGGAGTGTCATGTCCTTAACCTATTCCTGTCTCTAAGGTTGCTGAAAACTGTATTATCAGAGAAGTGTAGCCTGGCCAAAGAAAAATTGCCTTTGTGAGACATAAAATCTTTTGTGTGGTGTTGCTGCTATGTCTTAAATGTGACATATATATATTTCCAAGGGCTAGGAGTGAAATCAGAAGTGACTAATAAGGTTTTCCAAGAACTTTATGTTTTCATTTGAGAATTCTCTCCTTCCAATTCTTACTTAATATGACATTTTTCTAACTGCCCATGTGCTCAGAATGTGGCTGTCCGTAGATTTTAATTTCTTCAGATTAAGCAATTTTATTAGGAGTTTATAAATCATCATCTTGTTAAAGGAAGTTATAGCTCAACTTGGGAAAAACCTAAAACCACCAACTAAATACAATGTTCTTTCAAAATATGGAACATTGCAATCTTGGAAAAATGCATTGAGCTTAAAATGATGAATCTGCTCTGTAAAAAAAAAAAAAAAAGCTTCCTTGGTTACTATAGTCTTTCCCTGGATATGAAAAAGCAGAATATTATAACTTTAGAAAATTATTTTTATGGAATACATTGGAATACATTTTAGAGAGAATAACAAGTTGCTAATAATATGATCAAGGGAAATGTGCTTTCATCCAATGCTTTTTTTCTTAAAAAAAACCAAAAGTGCCGGAACTCACACACGTCATACAACCCGCCTTGCCTACCCTACAAGGTTCCATCCCAAAAAGGTGCTGGAACTCCGTTCTGGGTGTTCTATGAGGAAAAAAGCCCTGCTTTCATCTATATCTACCCTAATGGAGGACGTAAAATCTTGTATAACATATTTTAGAATACATTGTATAGAATTTTGTATGTTGCAGTATACAAATTCATGAAAGTTGTACATTTATTTGTGCAATTCACTGAGCTTGATCTAGATATAATCGAGATTTCCATGGAAAGTTGATGTTTCTGCAGAGGCTCTCATTGGCATAGGGAGAATGTACAGTATATGGCAGGTTTTTTCTTTCAGGTCTCTCTAGCTCCTTAGAGGATTACACTTTCTAGGTGATGAAGTAGAGCACATACATTTTTCATCCCCCTCCCCTTGTCAGAGAATGTTCCCCGCATCAAGGGACAAACTCTACTTCTAAGCTAAAATAGATGAATAAACTATAAATAATGTTTCTGTGATTGTAAAACAGTTTTACATACAACAGTTTCAGATAACTTCTATCCAGTCTCCATCCTTCCATTTTTGGGGAAGGTTATTGAAAGGTGGTTGGCATTGAGCTGCAGAGAGCCTTGGATGAAACATATCATCTGAACCCTTTCAGTCAGGATTCAGGCTGGGGTTCAGTACCAAGGTGGCATTGGTTCTCTTGTGAGTGAACTCTGGAGAATTCAGGAAGGTTGATCCTGTCCTTCCTGGATCTCTCAGCAGCTTTTGATACCATCAGTCATGGTCAGGTTCAGGAGCTGGGAGAGGGAGGCACTGTTTTATGGTGGCTTTCCCCTTTTTCTGTGGTCAGTTTCAGTTGGGAGGGGAGATGATAGTCTCTAGGCCCCTGCAGTGTGGGATCCCTCAGGGTTCAGGTCTCTCTCCTCTCCTCTTTAACATTTACATGAAACTGCTGGGTGAGATCATTTGCCAGTAATGTGGTGCAATATCATCAGTAGGATGATGTTACCTAGTTATACACATCTCCACCCCAGTCAGGCAAGTGATGCAATCACAATGCTGACTGGGTTCCTGGAGGCCATAGGATGGGGAGAAGTCAATTTTAACTCAACATTTTGAATAAATTAAAAATAAAATAAACATTTCTAACAAAATTGGTGGGAGTAATAGATTTCTGTTCTATGTACTGCACTTTTTTCAGCAAACTCTTTGATTTGCAGATGTATTAAACCTAATGACCAAAAAGCAGCACACATCTTCAGTGATGCTCTTGTGTGCCATCAAGTTCGATATTTGGGTCTGCTGGAAAATGTCCGAGTCAGAAGGGCAGGTTATGCATTCCGTCAAACCTATGAGCCTTGCCTAGAAAGATACAAAATGCTTTGCAAAGAGACATGGCCACAATGGAGAGGACCCGTGAGGTAAGAATGACTAGAAATACATGCATCCTGGTACAGACATAACATGGATTGCTTAGCTCTGGTTAAACAGTTCAGATTGAGCTACAACACTGCGTATTCCTTCTGCTGTGACAGTTCAGAAAGTATCTGAAACTATGATTTGAGTATTGCTGGCTTAAAGATAGAGAAAACCATTCAGTCAGGGTTATGTTCAGCAGAGAGTAGATCAGTGTGAACAAAGAAAGCAAAATAATACATTCCAAGCTACAATCCACAACCATGGTTAAGGATCTTGTAGCCTTTTCCTTCCATTGACCTAGTGAAACCAAAGGAGTGCCTCTGTGTCACTCATTATTGATGCCTGTTTCTTGCCTATCATAGATTGTTAAATACATCTGGAGTAAAGGCAATGACATCATTGTTTCAGGAGACAGCTTTGCATGTTGCATGCAAATTCCTAATACAAGTTAAAGGGTTATGCAAAATTGAACTTAGCTTCTCTTTTTTTTTTTTTTTGAGGCAATCTATTTGCACTTGCAAACCGAGCGGTTCAAAAGCATGCAAAAGCAAGTAGATAAATAGGTACCACTTTGGTGGGAAGGTAACAGTGTTCCGTGCGTCTTGGCGTATAGTCATGCTGACCACATGAACACAGAAATGTTTTCGGTCAACGCTAGCTCCCTCAGTTAAGAAACGGTGGTAAGCACCGCCCCATAGAGGCGGACTGGACATTGGAAACTTTTATCTTTATTTGCACATGGGTGTGGAAAGTGGCAAGAAGGACATGTAAAAAATGCTCTAAGACAATTATGTTTTCATTTTTATATTACATTTTTTTAATATTTGGGGAGGGTTTTCCTCACCTTTCCTCATGTTTTGTGTAATTGTTGGTAGCCTTTCAGTGTTAATTGTACTTTATAACTATATTCAATGGTACTTTATATATATTAGTCTGCTCTAAAATACATATTTCAATAGAATATAAACAGATATTTTGAATAAATATGGTAGCACTTAGTCTACCTTTGTTAACCACATGGTTGGATCTGGTTAGCGCTTGGGCGAGAGACTAGCTGGGAAATTAAAAAGAAAAAAATCCTGGACTGCCAAGAAAACCATATGTCTAAAAAATCTAACTCTCAGTCATTATCACCAGAATGTCTATTCAGTGGCTACCATTTTCATAGTTGGACAGTTTTTCTAAAACCCTGAGATGTAAACATTTTTGGCTAATTTTTAAAAAGTGTTTATATAGCAAAGCTATCTTTTCATAAAATGCTGGATAATACTGTCTTTTCCCAAAAGTAAAACCTACCCGACAATAAGCCTAGGTTGATTTTTGGGTGTGGGCCTAATATAAGCCATATCCCAAAAATAAGCTCTAAAAATCAAGCTAGGGCGAGGGTTGGGGTGTTGAGCTACTCACGTGCCCCGCACCCACTTACTGTATTTTTCCGACTATAAGATACACCCTTGTATAAGACGCTCTGGCAGGCGAGTTTCTCCGCACCGATCAGCTGTTCGGCGAAGTGCCGAACAGCTGAGCCGGCAAATCCGGAAGTTCGGCTGGCCGACGATCTTGCCCCCTCTCCCCTCCTGTTAGTGGCAAGCCCACAGGGGCTTGACACCTGCACCAGGCGGCATGGCAACCCACACAGGCATGCCCTGGGCTGCGGAGGTTACCATTATTTTTCCATGTATAAGACACTGCACTTGTATAAGACGCACCTGATTTTTGAACAGGGTGTTTGGAGGAAAAAAATAACGTCTTATACATGGAAAAATACATACCTTGCAGCCATGCCTCTCCTTGCCAGCCCACTTCTTCTGCGGCATCCCCAGGCCTGCATTTTGCAGTCAGGCCTTTCAAGAAGGCCTCTGCAGCCAATAACCGAGCTATGGATTCAATCCATAGCTCAGTTCTGCAAGGCCTCTTCAGCCGAAAACTGCAGAGGCCTTGCAGAAAGGCCTTTGACTGCAAAAATGCAGGCTGGAGCTCCATTCTCAGCTGCAGAATGAAGCTGCTCCTTTGGCTGCAGAAGAAGTGGGCCGGCTGGGCGGGGCTGTCGCCGGAAAAGACACTCCCCCCCCAAGTTTAACATATAAAAGAAAGACTTTTCACAAAGATGTTTTGTATTTTTGTTTGTTTGCCTTTTAGAATCGGTGTAGAGGTCCTTTTTAATAAGCTGGAAGTCCCTGAAGAAGAATACTCTTTGGGTAGATCAAAAATATTCATCCGCAATCCAAGAACCGTACGTGAAGTAATATTCCTCACTTTACACAAATTATTTGAATACAGGTCATCCTCTATTTTATTTCAATTAGGATGCTAGAATTTTAATTTGATTGACGCAATGAAGGGCAAAATTAATTAGCTTGGGAGGGGGAACCAAGATGGCGGTTAATGAAGCAGCATTATTTTTATCGTTGTAGCATAAAAATATATGCTTTAATGTTCCTCAAAACTTTATGAACTCCAGACAAGAATAAAGAGATGTATGGACAGATACATAGACATTGCTTATGTCTGTTTGTCTCTGTCTCTCTCCCCCCCCCCCCCGCCACACACAAAGAGGATGATAATAATCTTACCAGTTTGGACTGCAGATGGAGACAATCATTTTAATATTTTCTGCAGACTCCTTGAAAACTATATCAGATAAAAACTAGCACATCGGAAAGTGAATTCCATCCTAGCTTGTTCTATAAGCATAATCATCTGTAATAATAATAATAAAAATTAAATGTGATTCCCTCCATCTAAAGGCTGAAATTGTGACATTCTCTTTGCTTCTTCCATAAACTAGGTCTAAAATAGATCAGACTAAAAAAAAAAGCATAAATTCTAAAAGTCAACTGTTGAGTTTCATAATTGAACCAAAGGAATTAGTACACCAAGACTTGGTATTTTAGACAACACACCAATCTAAATTTCTTTAGAGAACAAGGTACTTTTATTGTAAATATGTATTGGTTTTTATTTTTATGTTCCTTTTTTCTTTCCCCAAATCTGCACAGCTTTTCAAATTAGAAGACCTAAGAAAACAACGTCTTGAGGATTTGGCTACCTTAATCCAAAAAATTTACAGGGGCTGGAAGTGCCGCACGTATTTCCTTCTCATGAAAAAAAGTCAGATTGTGATTTCCGCCTGGTATAGAAAATATGCGGTAAGATGGGATTTTATTTGTTGGGTTCTGTTTCTGTCCCTTCAGGATGACAGTAATTTAAAAAAGAAATGCTAACATCATGTCCAATGAATTAAAAAAGTAATGGAAAGTTAAAATGCACATTAGTTTGGATACTCTGATTTGGATTTTGATAGATTAAGGCATTGTTATAATTTAATAATGATAAGACAGTTGCTTAAGTAATAGCTCACTGTAGATTTTTCTCTTGGTTATAAATAACACTTTGAATTTAATTTGAAAAGTAAACAAGTTTCTTGGTTATGTCTTATTGCTAGGAAGTATGTTTGGGAAACAGCAGCTTTTAAGCTTGTAAACAGAAAGGTTGAAATAATGGGGGAAAAAAATCAGTGTTCTCTCACTGCAGCTACAACAAAACCATTGTTAATTAAAACATGGATTACATGCCTCTTATTTAGTTATTAATCATGCTAATTATTGACCATAATTTAATTGTTTGCAGTTGATTCATGGTCATGGTCAAAGTGGTATAGGGCTATTTTTGCAGAGGTATGCTTCTAGAAGCAACTGTATTTAGAAGCAGGCATTCTCAAGGATCATCCCATAAAATATACATCACAATAAAACCATTGAAGGGATTGTGTGTTGCAGTGTACTCTGTAGACTTTCTTAGATAGCATAGAAACTGAATGAAAATGTGTGCAGTTTATTTAGTAACACAGTATTTTAAAACTCAACACGTTTCTATATGCACATACTTTATTTTTTTTAATACAGCAACAAAAGAAGTACCAGCAGATCAAGCGCTCTGCCATCATTGTACAGTCTTACATCAGAGGATGGAAAGTGAGTTTAGAGAATGGCTTCAGTAGACTTTCTTTTCTTCCACTGTATGAGTTCAATATAGGATTTTGAGTGAGGTACCCCAGTGTCAAGGAGTCACCATGCATGGGCTGATGTAGCTCTGAGCTGTATTTCTTACCATAGTGCATTCTTCAAATTAATGCCAGAGAAATCTGGTGTAAAAAATCTGGATTTTTTTTTTGTAGCATGAACATTTGCTTAAAAGAAAAATTTAAATTTAGTGTGCTAAGCTCAGCTAGAACTGTGTTTTAAAATGTTTACTAGCCACCCCCAAAACTTGCCAAAACATTTTTATTTGCTCTTAAATGAATGTGTCAGGCCCAAAACCAAGAACGAAACATGGCGAATCTTCCAAGCTGAATTCATTGTTTCACATCTATAAACAAAATCTTGCCAGACTGAGGATTCTACTATCTGCATTTACAATATACTCTGTGAATTATTAGGGAGGGACTGTCTTCACCCTCTTTCTCTCATACATAATATCTGGCTGAGTTGCCTCTTCCTCTTCTGGAATACACCGCTATTTTCTGGGGATCCACCTCCTTATTACATTCCATGATTGCCATGGTTATTTGGTCTTTAAAAGAGAAAAAGTGTACATCTCCTGGCTACAAAAAGATTTCTATGGAGATTCTCAGTCATCCAGGTCATGGTAGTCTCAGAGGTGCTTTTTCAAAAGGCAATTGGACTTTCTTGTTTTTCCCATCACTTTAGAAACCTAAAATTATGTTATTGGAGAGCATGGGGCATAATATCAACCAGTTATATTTTATCAGAAACCGAAACATTTATTTTTCTGTAAGATACTCTGCCACTACCTCCCCTATCCTGAGTTAAATAAATAAATAAATAAGAATACCAATTTGGTCTAAAGTGCTGGACTAGGAACAGAAAAACCTGGATTGTAGTCCTTCCTCAGACACAGAAACCAAATAGGTAACTTTGGGCAAATCCCTTTGTGTCACCCTAGGAAGATGACACGGACAATCCATCTGTAGAAATGGTGCCAAGAAAACTCTAGGAACATGTTCAGGCAGTTGCTAGGAATCAAGCCTGACTTGAAGGCAGCATCTCTCACATCCCAAAAGTAATTAATACTGCCATTAGACACATTGTCCTCTTAATACATTTCCATTGTCAATTCAGCTTCTTGGATCAAATGCTTGATTTGCAAATAGGCAACCAGTGGCAAGGTTGTAGAAATGCAACTAGGCCATGTCAATTTTAATTCTTGCCTCAGTGGTTAAATAACTATCACAGCCCATCCAGCTTTTTGTGCCAAAAGAATCTAAGTGCAAAACTAATCAAATAAAAGGGAATGTGGTTGGAATTATGCTTAAAATAACCTGCTCCCCCCCCTTTTTCCCATTTTCATTTAAAATCTTGGTATAATCTGCGTTGCTTGCATCTATTTATTGTTTTTAAAACGAGTGGTTGTGGTTTAAAATTCCATGTCAGCAGCAGAATTCAATGAGTCTGGAAAAGCTAGTTTAGGCACCAGTCCTACTCAAGTACCAGTAATATCTCATAGGCAACAAAAGCTATCTCCTCCCCCCATCCCCAGCTCTAGTTTTACAAATTTTGAAAGTTTGTAATATTTTTAACCTTGCATGCTGGGGCACTAAGCAGAATTGCACAGAGTCAGAGGCTTTAATTAAAATAGCGATGAAGCCTTTATAACCCTTTAGAGCAGACATGTCAAACTCGTGACATCACATGACGTCGTGCAACGTATCGGGACAGTTTTGCCATTGCTGGCAATGGGGTGGGTGCGGCTTCTGCGTGACGCATCCGGCCCGTGGGCCGGCAGTTTGACACCCCTGCTTTAGAGAGATGGGGTAAACATGTGAACACTTCCTCACTGCAGATTTTTTGTGCAATTGGGTTTTTCAATGCTAACTTGAGGGCATGGGGTTTTGCTTCACAGGCTCGAAAGCTGCTTCGTGAACTGAAGCACCAGAAACGCTGTGAAGAAGCTGTTACAACCATTGCAGCCTATTGGCACGGAGCTCAGGTAAGAAAAAGCTGACAGGTCTTTGTTTCCTAGTCACCTCATGGTACAAAAGGTGTCTAGATAGACCGTAGAAATGTTTTTCCAGCTGCTTAATTTATCAACATTTGGATCTGACCTCTTTTGCGGCTGTACTTTTAAACAGATTTCAGTCTAGCTGGTAAAGGTTCTACGTTGATTCAGTATGAAATCTTTTCGTCTTTCTCTTTCACTTCCTCGTTCCATCGGGAAATTGAAGCAAGCCTTTTCTCTCTCAGAATGTTCTGTAATTCATTTTCAAATACATCACAGGCCCGAAGGGAACTGAGGCGGCTGAAGGAGGAGGCTAGGAATAAACTTGCTATTGCAGTTATTTGGGCTTACTGGCTTGGATTAAAGGTACTACATGCAAGTGTCATGTGCCCCTCCCTTCCTTACCCAAATTGCCTACCCGTTAATTAGTAAAAAGGATTCCTAATCATTTTTACTAAGCTATTACACCTGAGCACCTGATTGCTGGTAACCTCTATTCTAACCTTCTCCCAGCTTAACCTGAAAATCATCCCTACTAAAAAATATTCCAAGCATGCCATTTTCTAGATAGGACTAATTGCTTGTTTATTAAGCCAGAAAATGATTAGACTAGTGGCTCTAAAATGTATTTTACTAAACTGAAATGTTTCAAATAATGTTTAGGAGAGTGCTCATGCAATAATATTTGTATAGGTTCCTAAACTAAGGCTCTATTACAAAATGTAACTGCATTAATTAATTTCATAATGTCCCTATAGTCTAAGTGCATCTTAATATCTAAGAAACAGGGGTTTTTTTTCAACCCACACAAAACACTGTGATATAATTTTCTTATTACATGTATATTTTTTATTGGAGAATATGACCAAGAGCTATGTGGCACGTGAGCCAAGAATCCTACCAATCCCAATTAAAGAGCCAGTTCAGGACTTTGCAACTTAGTGTATGAAGTTGTGTGTTGTGTTAAGGGTTCGGATATTATGGTTGAAATCATTTCTAGTGTGGCCAACAATTTGCTGTTACTGGTTGCCACAGCATTTAGCTTTTTTTCAAATTTCATACACATCAGCTCATATCTTAAGGATTGTCTGCAATTGCCCTTTTATCAAGTTGCAACCAAAATGTAGAATTAGTGACAAAATGTGGTCTGTTAAATTCCTGTGAGCATTACATATTTCACAGCAGGAAGGTTTCCCCCTTCCCCCCCCCACTCCATGTGATGACCATTGAAAGTCAAACAATATAATATGGAAAATGTTCTTACATGTGGAGAAATTGCATGGTTTGTGCTCAGATTTGGGGGAAGTGCATAGGAAATGATGGCAGAGCTGATCATAGTCAATTGTTGCTTTTAGCAAGAATACCGTGGAAAGATTGCATGTTGGTATTGGAGGATGGAGAACTTTAGATGCTATTGTTTGGTTAAACACGTTAGACCTGACACGGTCGCTTAACAACCAGAGTTGGGAGAGCTCAAAATTGCAATCATTGAGTGAGGCAATCATATGCTTACCTTGCTTAATGACTGTTATGATTTACAACCCAAATTCCAGGCTCAGTTGTGGTCATAAGTTGAGGACAACCTGAATAGGTATGATTTAGTAGTACATAATAAGGCTCTATGAAGCTTCAAAGGGTTGTTTTGCTTTGATGAAGCCTTCTCCTCCAGTACTACCAAGAGCTATCAGACTAGGCAGTTTCCACAAATGCTGTGAGATTCCACATGGTACTATATGTGCTGAAGTGGTTGGCACAAATTGTCTTTGCCATGTATTGAAAGCCTTGTTGAATGGGTGGCCTCAATAAATGCCGTTCAGTTGCCTATGTTGTACATCAGAATGGCTAGTTTGGAGCCTTCTCAGCAGCTGCTGAATTTTATTATATATATATTTTTTGAGTTGGATGGATTCACTGGCATAACAGGCAAATACTGCAGTCCATGCCTATGCCAGCTAACTTAGAGCCTCCTCTGGACCAATGGCCCTTGCACTCTTCAAAAACTCTGATTAGTACTGTAAAAAAGGTGAGCAGCACCTCTTCTGGAAGTTGACTTTTTAGTGATTGGTACGGAACCAGAAATGTGTGCTAGAACTATTCAACCATGAAAAACTTTGGCTACCGCTGGGAGAGAATGCTGAGAAGCACTGGATAACTTTTTTTTTAGTGAACAAATCACATTACTTCCAGAACTCAACATACTGGCTGCATCAAAGTACTGTATATCCACCTTTCTTCACACAGAGCTAATAGAAATTGATGTTCGATATAAAGTACTATTTCTATTGAACCAAAAAAGCAATACTAATGGAAGTTAAAGCTATCTGCATCCTGATAATTTGCTGCAGGTAGTATTTAATGTAACACTTTGCTTTATTTGAGAGTTCAATGGCGACACGTAGCATTAGGATTTCATTGAGTTAGAGAATTGTGAAGAGAGATTTATTTCACACACATGGTTGTGCTGATTGGATGATTAAACTGAAATATTTGAACATTTCTCATCTAAAGTAAAGGAAGTCTATGGAGATTCTCAGTCATCCAGGTCATGGTTGTCCCAAAAGTGCTGTCTGAAAGTTTAGTTGCTTTTTGAAAAAACACCTTTGGAATAAAGTAAAGGAAGTTGATAACAACCAATCCCTTACTATGAGAAAATGTGCAAAGATATTATATTATTTGGGGATTGTAGGGCTCTAAATCATAGCAATCAGCAAGGCTTTTGTCCTTTTTATAAAAAAATCTTGAATAGAATCCAGCCACCCAGACAGGCAAGACATCAGAATATAAACTGACAGCAAACAGCACTCCTTACTAGCACTGATATGTTATCTAGTTAGGGTAATGTCTGCAAGAAAAAAAGCAAGCTCAGAGAGCACCAAGGACCCCTCAAAAACAAGAAAGTCCAGTTGCCTCATGAAAAAACATCTTTGGGACTACTATGACCTGAATGACTGAGAATCTCCATAGACATGTGTTTCTTTCTATTCAAAATACATCGGAATGACTTAAACAATAGGTTATGCTTTACACAGAGCTCTTTTAAACAGCAAAATTTGCAAGGCAAATCTCTTATAGACAAACCAACGTTTCAGAATTCTAGGTCCCTGGCTATGTCTATTGCTGCTGGTATCCAGCGAGTAGACATCTGTTCTCCACTAATACTAAAGTACAAATGTGATCAATAAATGTCTTTAAATAAAATATCAAAAGGAGTATCAGAAAACCCTATAGAGAACACAGATACTTTTTTTTTAAAGAAAAGTTTATTCCATTGCTGCTATACCCTGAAAATATTATGACTGAGACATGGTATTCATTGCATATCTTTTGTGACTACCCCTCCCCCCTTTGAGAAAAATGCATTGATAAAATAAAATACAATTTTAAAAAATGAAATAAAATGAAAGAAGGTCAATTTGTGCTCTAAACTGGTTTTCTTCAGATACTTGTCATTGTTGAATGGACTTCATAAGCTGGTTTCTAATATTTTAGTCTGAATTAACTTCCTGTTGGGCCGTGATTCTGCAAACGTTTTTTCACTATTCACCCTTTGGTAATGCCCTATATGAGAATGCTACTACCACTTATTCTTCAGATGTGCCTTGGGGAAGTAGCTTTCCACTCAATCTTCACACTGGCACGCTGGGGTTCCACGGGTTGCCTATTGCTCTTTCATCTGTTCTGCCAGGGGGAGCATTCTCTTTCTCATCATGGTTCTTTCTGCACCAGGCTGTCTCTGTGATTCACTATCTAAACATTTTAGGCTCGGAGGGAGTTGAAACGCTTGAAGGAGGAGGCTAGGCGTAAGCATGCTGTGGCAGTCATATGGGCTTACTGGCTTGGACTAAAGGTACTCTCTTAAACAACTCCCTTATGTTAATAGTAATCTCAATAAAGCGTGGCATCTATCTACTAACACATAATAAACTTCTGGGGCTGTGGGCTGTAACAAGCATGAATCTCTAAGGGAATTGGTGTTTTTTTTCTGTGATCTTTAAAAAAAGTCTTGTATGTTTTTAAACAGATAATGTATTATAAGCTGTACATTTATGCGTCTACATTATTGCACACAAATTTCTGAATATATTCAAATAAGTACATTAATCGTATTTTGGAATTAAGTAGGAAAAAAGTTAAATGTGATTATTGGACATTTGGGGGTCTTGCTCTATAGGAGTTTGGATTGTATATTGAAGTGATGGTCAGAGTTGTTAGTTGTGTTAAATCACACAAATCTTGACAAATGTCTTCAAGTGGACCTACCCCAATCTAATTTGGGGTGAATAGTAGTGATTTCTGCAGGAGGCTCTTTCCCAACAAAGTGCATTTTCCACCAGCAGCACGTAAGGTGCGGGGCCTGTTTAGAGAAAATGGAGAAGGTAAATACATTAATCCAAATTAGAAGTTATTAGATTAAAGCACCCATGTCTATGCCTTTTGGTTGGATTTGTCTGATTCTCCACATATGCAACCTAACAAAAGATGACTAGGACTTACATATACTGTACATCAGTCTTTTTATGGAAGCTTTTTGAAACTGTTTGAAACTCAGGTGACATATTGTTTGTTCCAAACACAATCACACTGAAATGACCTCCGATTGCAGTCTAATTCAATTTTTTCTAGAAGTCAGTTATATATTTGAAAGCACTGCTGCACTGTCCAGACCGTAGGTTTCTGATGCCATGAAAAGTACAACTTTCATACGTTCCCATGGATCCCTACTCCACACTTCTTGTCAGTGAAACATACATGCCTTACAATTCCTTTTACGTACTTGATAATAGGAGCACCATTGCTCTTTCCAGTGTGCTTTCATTGAATTTGGCAAGGTTAACAATTATTTAACTTAGCTTCTATTGTGCCTCTTCAGGAATTGGCCATTGTTTCACTTCAGGTTCCTCCCTTTCCATTGTGTTGTTGAGTTGTGCTCTTAATTGCTGTTTCTTTTCTCTTTTTGATAATTGGACATATAAACTCTGCCCAGCCATAGTGGATTCCGTATGGAACCTAGCAGTTTTAAAATATTCAGAAACTTTAAAAAAAAATTTTTTAAATTATACATAACATAACCCTTAACAATTATACAATATATTGTCTTTTGGCATTTTATTTCCTCTCCATATGGGTTTGTTTGCAATTACATTACATTGATATACCATATTGAAATGAATGGGAAATTTGAACTGACAAATGTCAAGTATAATGTCCCCATTATAAGTTATGGGAAATAACAAAATGCTTCTCCTTTCTAGCATCTCTGCTCTTTTTTTAAAGAAAGAGAAAAGTCAAGATGATATAAGCGACTTTTTTAAAACACTTAATACTTTCTAAAAAAAAAAAAAGCCCATTAGTCCATAATGTAAATGTGTTGTTTTCACATTGAAAAACAGACAGTTGTGGATATGGGAAGTGTCAAACATGCAACTGACTCCCAAATCAATAAGAGCATCGCTGCTGAATCTCTATGTGGCTGTACTTGAAAAATGTTGTATCTTAATGCTTTAAACCCATAATAATAAGGCTCTCAAAATTAGAAACAGTCCTGTTTTAATGTGACTAGAGTCTGGCTTTCTTTATTTCCTACAAGTCGTGTTTTCCAGATATGTAAATATGAAATCAAATTGTGTGTGGTCTAGATTGATTCATAGCCATGTTGTGGGAGAAATCATCTCCACTTTGTTTTATAGCTCTAATGTTAGAAAAAGTTGTCTTTAAACAACTAGTCATAAATTGAAGACTTGTGTGCTAGGATAGCTCCCCATCCCCAAAAGCAAGCTATCTGTTTATTCTGAGATTTTTAACTTAACCAGGTTCGTAGAGAATACAGGAAATTCTTCCGAGCCAACGCTGGAAGGAAAATTTATGAATTTATACTTCAAAAAATTGTAAGTATTTTGCTTGTACAACACTATGACAGTTGTATGAAGATTTTACTTTACAGTATGAGCAAAAAGAAAAGGAAGATTAGTTGAAATACCACTGTGTTTATAATACATAGAAAAGTGAAGAGTGAAGTACCAGAATTGTCTTTGCCACAGGCAAAAGGTACTTTTTTGTAAAATCAAATAATTATCCTGACTTTCATTTTTAACATCTCTCCCTCTAAGGCAGTGATGGCGAACCTTTTAGAGACCGAGTGCCCAAAAACTGGCCCCGCCCCTGCTCCACACCCTGCCCCGCCCCTGCTCTGCCCCCCCATCCCCTGCGCCGCCTGCCCGCAGGGCCACTCACCGCCTCCAGGGCCTGCCGCAGATCGCCCAGGCAGCCCAGCAGCGCTATGGCAGTTATGCCCTCTGCCCGCGCCCTGCAACATCAACTGTGCACAATGGGGTGTGAGGGCAGAGTCTTGTCTATGCTGCCTGGCTGCCATGTCCTTGGCTGTGCTGCTCCGCGTGAGCCACGCTCAGGGGCGACTCTCCTTCAGGGGGCTGCTGGAGAGGAGCGGGTCGTGGGGGGAGGCGAGGCTGGGGCCACGGCACGTGTGCCCACAGAGGGGGCTCCGAGTGCTGCCTCTGGCACCCGTACCATAGGTTCGCCACCACTGCTCTAAGGGTTTTTTTTTTAATACTATTGTCCTGCTTTTATTTTTGCATCTGCTGCTTAAATGTGACATCCCTCAGTCTAAAAGGAAATCAAATCCCCTGAAGCTTTCTAACTGAAATCCAGCAAATGGTCTCCAATTTAGTTAATTTTCTGTAAGGCTTACAAATAAAAGTGATAGATATCATTGCCAAAAAATGAGTACTTTTTTTTCTCCCGGTTATAAATATTTATTTCTATTCTGCTGGAAAAAAAAAGAGAAATAATTATTTATACCAGGAAACTGGTATAACTGAAAATTTAGAATTGGTTTAGACTTCCCATATGTATTAGCACAATACTTCCCTGCCATATCTTTGTTCCAGCTTCTGCAAGAGCCTGAGTTTTTTTTAAAAAAATTATCAAATTTTAAAACCACCCATCTCCCTCACAGGACATAAAAAAACAGTGTATAAAATTTAAAGAGGCAGGCAATGTTAAAAATTAATTAAAAGGCAGAGGGAGGGCTTTCAGGGAGCTAACTAGCACAATGACCACGTGTGCCTATGTGAACCCCAGCAAAGACTGCAGAGCATGTTTTCATGCCTTTCTGGAAGGCCGAGAGAGTGGGGGCCCAACTTATCTCTGGGAGGGAGAATGTTCCAAGGGGGGGGGAATCAACACCAGGGAAAATTCCCTTCCTGGACCCCACCAATTGGAATTCTTTGGCTAACAGGATCCGCAACATACCTTCCTTACCTGACCAGGTAGGACAGACTGAGTTATGGGATGAGGATGGTTCCCTACGTAATCTGACCCAGGCTATGAAGGGCTTTAAAGATACCACTCCATGAAGAGATTTATTTAATCCGTACAAATAAATTTGTAATTATTAAAATGAAGGCTTTTTGAGAAAATAAAATGTTTTTTCTATATATTTTTTTAACCTAGATTCAGAAATACTTTTTGGAAATGAAGAATAAGATGCCTTCTTTATCACCAGTAGACAAAAACTGGCCAGCAAGGCCTTACCTGTTTTTGGATTTAACTCATAAGGAACTGAAGAGGATATTTCATTTGTGGAGGGTAATAATATAATTCTGGAATTAATCATTTATTTTGGTTGTGCTTTTATTAATAGCCTAAGCAAGAAAGCTGAAAATCACTAATAAAAGATGCAAAAAGTAAAGCTTCTCACCATGTTCATGTACTCTGTTTCTATTAAAATTGTTTACCAAATTATACAAAATTCAATGGCTACAACGAAAGTGATTTAAAAGGCATGATTCTATAATTTACATGTAACCTTGGTGTTATTTAGTTCTTAGGAAAGGGGGTATTTATCTTAGTTTGTATATATCCATCAGTGTTATAAGTCAAGGTCACTGTTAAATCCTGTTTACAAAAATCTGGAACTATTTACTAGAATTCAAGCAAAGTCCAACCTGTGATATGGCATATGCAATGTGTTAAAAGTGGAATTCCCCAGACAAATCAGTTGAAACTAGAAATGCAATGTTTGTCCCCCCACACTTGTACTGAAGAAGGTACACATTATAAAGTTTAATTGCTACATGTAGTGGAACCAAAATGAAAAGTGTACCTGATCAAACATTAACCACTTCATTTGTCAATTTTCATATTTTCCTATTAAGATACATTTTATCAAGGCATAGTCATATGTATTCATATATTAATGTATTTTACGAAGTCACAGCAGGTGGTGACACCTAGCTGACCTTGGCTGACCTCAAATAAGTTAAGATCCAAACTAATAAAATCTCAGAAGGCAATATGACATATAATGTGGGCAAGAAAAGTGTGTGTGTATAGATTTCCAGAAAAAGTGTAGTAAACTGAAAACAGCTCTGTGAAAACAGATCTGACAACTGCAGCAGAGACCAAGGAACTGGTGAGTAGACCAGTTCTTTGGAAATCTATGGATAAGGAGAGGATGAGAGATCACCCACATACAGTATGCTCTGGATGGCTACTGCTTCTTGTGAGGACACCACAAAGCAGCAGTTTTCTGCAGGTATGAATGCTGAGAGACAAAGTGATTAGCCATCTTGTTAGCAACTGCAGCATAACCTTTTAAAGGACAGTAAGCTTGCGAATCTTACTTTCTGATTGCTTTGGGAAATTACCTATTAACCAATTTAAAACTATTAAAGACCTTTGGCACCACAAGTTTGAAAAGTCTTCATTGGATTAAGCTTATCTTCAACTCTGAACAAAAGAAAAGTTAATTATAAGGCTAAGAGTTTAAAAAAATGGAAATAAACAGAAAAAAAGCTAAATATGATTTTGATTTAGAATGTTATAAGTAGATTAAGGGTCCAGATAAATTTGGAATATTGAAACTTTTACAATAAAATTTTGGAATTAATTTTACAGAGCAAACAGCTTTTGGTGGGAAAGAGATCTGTTTGGTTTGGAAAGAGATAAAAGGGATAAGTAATTTCAGGATTTAAAAACTAGACATTAGAGGGGAACTAAAGATTTAAGATTTAATCCTATCGGTGCAATAGGACAAAGACGAAGTAAAGAGAAATTAAATTCTATGACAATATTTGAAGTAAAGATTAAGCCAATTAGAAGACAAAGGGAGGAATATAAAGTTGGTTTATTTGATCAAGGTTCAAACAAAATATGTTTTTAGTTCTGACAATTCTTTATGGACTTTCTGCTTACACCAGGACTGAAAAGATGATGCTTTATGGATTTGGCTACTGATAAGGGATGGGATATGGGATGAAGACATAATTGTTTGCAACCACAGAACCGGGGATGGGAGGTGAAGAGTTACTAAATTTGTTTATATGTGTTGTGGTGAAGGTTGAAAGTCATTTCTTTATGTATTTTTGCTTTTATCTTCATTTTTCTTCTCTTTCTTTTTTCTTTCCACTTGCAGCTTTTATCCTTTCTATTTTCTTCTCTTTCTTGAAGCTTACTTTGGTTTAGATTTTACTGTTCTAATCAACATTCTTAATAAAATTATATATAAGAAAGAAGAGAGAAAGAGACTCTGTCTGTGTATGTGTGCACACACACGGACGTGTTTGTGTTTAATCACCAGGAGACAAATTCCATTTAAGAAAGTTTTTATCTTAAAGTAATTAGTTTTAAAACAGCAGGTTCATAAAAAATATTTTAAATGTTCTTTCAGTGAATTTTGTGATAAACATACAGGTAGCCCTCATTTAGCAACCACAATTGGGACAGGCAACTCAGTCATTAAGCAAAGCAGTCATTAAGTGAAACAGTGACTGAGCTTATGATCCTACCTCAACTTTCCCTTACTTTACAGACCTATGGAAGTTGTAAATGCAAGGATTGGGTCGTAAAATTACTTTTTCATCACTGTCATAATTGTGAGTGGCCGCTAAGTGAAGCAGTCGCTAAACAAGGGCCACCTGTACTTTCAGAAGAGAAACAGTAAATGTAAATTGAGAACTGATGTTGACATGGACTGTTAGGTTTATAGTAGCATCTATAAACTGATGTATATCTTAAGCATAGGAAAAGAGCAGTCGGGCTTCAAAGAGGAGTTCTGCAATTCATTTGCAATGCTTTATTTTCAGTGTAAAAAGTACAGGGACCAGTTTACGGACCAGAAGAAGCTCATTTATGAAGAAAAACTGGAAGCCAGTGAACTTTTCAAGGACAGAAAAGCTTTATATCCAGCCAGGTAATGAATTTTGCTAAGGTTGCAACATCATACACCCAGATTGGGAAGAAATTTGCCAGAAAATCCTATCCATCTTTTTTGGGCGAAGATTGCCCCTTTCGAGCCATTGCCAGTTTAGAGATCATCAACATCCTTCCTTGAATATATATACAGTAAATTAATTAATTAGTGTTCTAATAACCTAGTTCTTCCATGCTTTGATAGCTGGAACATTGATATTTAACTTGGTTAGGCATGCACACAAAGCCTGCAAACTAGATTATTAAGTGCGGGTGCTTTGTAGGTTAAAAATGGATGTTGTTTAATCATCTTGATATAAAAATCAATTTAATGTTCTTGCTTCAGTGGGTAAGAAATTGCAAGTTTCAGTTTGGAGAGTGAAGATGCTTACAGGCGCCCTAATAGTTTAACATTTTTAAAATGTTAAACTGCCCACTTAGGTAGGAGCAGAATACCACCATAAAACAGTGCCTCCAGTCCCCTGATCTTTCATGCGGTCCATAAAAATACCATGGTTGATGGTACTGAATTCACCGAAAGGTCTAACGCAAAGACACAAGATGGGTACGGTCTCCCTGTTTATGTCCTAAAAACCTTTTCCAGGATGACCAGTGCTGTTTTCATTCATATCTAGGCCTGAATGGGAATTGAAAGGGAACAGAAAATCAATTTCTTCTATTGTAGTATCCATCTTCTCAACAATATTCCCCAGAAAGGGAACATTGAATACTGGGCAGAAATGTTACTGTGCAGCAGGATTGGGGGATACCTTCTTCGAGAGATGGTGCATCACCACCTTTTTCAAGGCAGGTGGCATCTCACTCTCCTTTAGAGGGGCATTAATCACCTCTTAGTAATACATATCACACCGGGCTGCCCAAAGAGAGCAGGTAGGACATGGCTCTGATCTATAAGTAGCAGAGCATGTATCCATATCCTCAACTACTATTAGAACCTCAGGTTAACATTGCAAGGCATCAATCTGGCTCCTTTCCCACCAACCCTGCCCATCTGGATTCCAGTTATCAACAAATATGATTAGCTGTATCCACGAAGAAACATGCCACAATGGGTGAGCCATCTTCTTTATTCCTTGCATTTCAACCAGGGAATAAAGATGTTAAAATCCATCTCTTTTGATTGGATGTGCAGCCTGGCAAGTCTTCCAGCCACCATCCACCAGTTGCCTTCCAGTAACTCTAGAAGAGCCACTTCAACTGCTGGACCATTACGGTTCCAACCTCAGCCCTTAGCAACGCATATCATCCACTGTCCAATCTTTACCCTGCCTTCCATTTCTTTCACTAGTTTTCGTAAAGATGCAACAAATAGTGCAACATGATAGTGAAGAAAACCAAATATTAAATCTCTGCAAGACTTGTTCATATATTGCCTGCCCTCCCCATTCCCACCAGTTATTTTTGTAGAGTACCTAATAGTTTTTATCTTATCAGTTTCTTAAACAGGTAAAAACATGTCTCCAATTTTCAGATCAATCCAAGATACGTAGCATTCTTTGTTTCAGACAGTACATTTTGCTTAGGGAATTGGTACATTGTTGACATTCTTTTACCTCATTTGGAAACAAAATGAAGAGTGTTGCAATTTATAAGAAAAGATGTCATGAGAAATATGATATCTTGTAATTTAAGGTTAATTTAGTACTTGTGATGGTAGCTGAATCATTGTCTGTTTTCTTAAAAGTGTTCTAGGATAGGCACTTCCTGTAGGTTATTCCAGAAGTTTTGGACTACAACTCCCATTATTGCATGCCATTAGCCACCCTGGCTGAGGCTAATGGGAATTAGGCTAAAGTACCTGGACCTCAAAAGCTTATCTTTTCTATCAAAGTTGAGGAAAGGTTGCCACAGAAGAAGGACTACATGCTAAGAAAATGAGTGCCATTGCTCATTTATCTTTACTAAAAAAATATCATTTAATTTCTTTATCTGACAACATAGAATCTTTTATTGCAGTTAAGGTTCAGAATTTAAAAGCAGAGTCTTGGGAGCTTGGAATTGATTCCAGTTGAAGATCATACATGTACCTCAGGATTGAACTATGGAGTCCTTGGTTGGTCCTCAGCTTGTTTGTTTGCAGACATTTCATTATCCGACTAAGTCAGAGGTCCCCAACCTTTTGGGCACCAGGGACTGATTCCATGGAGAGAGGTTTTTCCGCAGACCAGAGGAGGTATGGTTTTGTGTGCTGCTTGCATCCCCATGGATGGGGCTTTGCTTTTTTGTGCGGACCGGTTGCTGACATGCCGCGGCCCGGTACCGGTCCATGGACTGGGGGTTGGGGGCCCCTGGACTAAGTAACATCATCAATGCTGGTGAGTGTGGAATTTGCTCTCTTGTCCTGCCAGTGTTGGTGGAACTGTGGTTTTCTCCTTGATAGTTCCTTGATTGTTCCTCTGTGGTAGTTCCCAGGAGGGAAAAAAACCATACCATCACCAACAATGGCAGGGCAAGCTACTGCATATAAACAGGGAGCAAACCCCACACTCACCAACATCGATAATGTTATCTAGTTGGGTAATGAAGTGTCAGCAAGCAAACAACCAAGCTCAGAGAGCACCAAGGACTCCATACTTGGAACTGATTGAATTTAGGCCACTTCTCTGGATAGCTGTAGCCGTGATATTTCTTTGTGGCCTAACATCTGACTCTGTTTAGGTTTTTGAAAACAGTCAAAGATCATCTAGCAAGCATCCAGCTGTGCAATGGTGATTGGAAGGCTTAAGATATGTCAAGAAGACCTAGAGTATTGCATGTGTATTTGAATTTTGATTATATTTATGTTTCTTTTACTTAAAGTGTTGGACAGCCTTTCCAGGGGGCTTATCTTGAAATCAGTAAGAACCCCAAGTACAAGAAACTGAAGGATGCTGCTGAAGAAAAAATTATTATTGCTGAAGTAGTAAACAAAATTAATAGAGCAAACGGAAAGGTAAAATCATTTCTATACGGGGAAAGATTGGCACATGTAAAATATTTTATCCAAACTTAGGCATCCGAGAGAGCTTTGTTCTTCTGGGTAACCTTGTATTCTTTGAGTATGAAGGAATAGCAATAATTATTTCATTTAATAGTTTAGATTTTTAATGTTATATGCAATTCTCTTTCTTCTTGGTGTGTGCTTAGGATGGTGATTCCATGAGTGCAATAGTTAACATGTAAACATCAATCACACTTGATAATTCATCTTGTTCCTGGATAACGGTTTCCTTATAATAATCTATAACCTATTTGACAGGAAGCGTAAGAGTCCAGCTCTATTTTGTCTTCCTCTTTAGTTAACTTAAAAATGTTTGCACAGAGGCATTAATGCATTGGGAGTCAATATTTTTGAATTTGCACAAAAGTAATCCCTCTCATTCTTTTCCAGTGCACAGCTAGGATTTTCTTGCTCACAAAAAATAATGTCCTACTTGCTGATCAGAAATCAGGGCAAATCAAGACAGAGGTTCCTTTAGGGGATGTCATTAAAGTGTCCATGAGCTCTCAAAGTGATGGTTTCTTTGCTGTGCATCTCAAAGAGGTAGGAATAAAATAACATCATTGACGATAGTAATAAAGAACTGCGGGTTATAATATTACAGAGTAAAAGAATAGGGTGCCTTTCATGCTTTCAACCAACTTGATCCATTTGAATTTTTTTTCCAATACCTTGATTAATTGCCTTTTCTAGGGATCTGGAGCAGCTGGAAAGGGTGATTTCCTGTTCAGCAGTGAACATCTGATCGAAATGGCCACAAAGCTCTACCGCACAATGCTTAGCCAAACCAAGCAGAAGCTCAGCATTGAAATATCTGATGAGTATGTATGGATTTGTCTGATTTAAATAGTTTCTATTAAAAAAAATTTTTTTTTCATAAGTTGAAATCAAAGCAGGGAAATCATGTAACACAGCGGTTCTCAACCTATGGGTTGCGACCCCATTTGGGGTCGATCGACCATTTCACGGGGGTCGCCAAGCAAGACTGTCCGCCATTTTTTTCCCCTTTTCCGGCGGGTGCCTTACCTCCCTTGAGCTGGGCCAGCTGGTGGTCGGCCTGCTCCGTCTCTGCCGCTTGCCAGCTACGCCTCGGCCGGCGCAGGGGGCGGAACCACACATGCGCGGCGCTCCCGGGCAGGGAAAGTACTCGACTTACGACCGGTTGGGTAGTCCTCGACTTACGACCGGTTTAGTCCTCGACTTACGACTGGCTTAGTCCTCGACTTACGACCGGTTGGGGGTCGCGGCATTAAAAAGGTTGAGAACCACTGATGTAACAAGAGCATTCCTTCTGAAAATAAATTAACAAATTAACAAACGTAGTGCTGTTAAAAATAGCCTACCACAAAAGTCAGGGAAAACACAGCTATGGCAGTAAGAGTGTTATAGATACCATGTAAGGAAAGCCTGTTCTACATACATCCATTTCTCCTCTACGTTTAGTCTCATTAGCATTGAAAACCATGATAGGCAACCTTGTGCTTTCCAAATATTTTGGTTTTTGTCATCAACTCTGGTCAGCATGGGAGTTTAGAGGGGAGTTAAAGTCCCCATCATTTCTCCTTTCCATAGAGAGATGGGACATGAGAAAGAATAGTATAATATCAGTTACGTGTGGCTGCCACAACATCATTCACCTTCGTAACAACACTACAAAATGTTGCTTTTTTTAGCCCTTACAGTAAGAAGCCAAAAATAAATAGTTAGGATTTTTCCCCCAAAGTAGCAAAATGATAGGCAGAACAAAGTATTTTTCCATATATAGAGCATGATTAACCAATGAAATTCCTAATTGCAAGATGTGGAGATTAGACAAGTCCAAGGAGGATAGTATGATTAGCTTACTAATACTGAGGTTTCTGTACTAGTGCCAGAGTTAAGCAGCATGTTCTGGATATCATTTGCTCAGATGCTAGCCTTCCCAGAGACGTTTAGTTAGTCATTGTGGGAAATCAGAAGCTAGATTATGTGTGGCCAGCAATCTTATGGTGGGTCACTTGAGGCGAAGGGAAATCAATGAGCTAATGATGATGGGAGGCAGCAGTCTAGAGCTGGATTCAACTGGGGAGAAAAGTAGTGAGGCTGTCTTCTGGCAACCCTGTTCAAAATCTCTGCTCTCCTGCTGCAAATGGGAATATGGACAATGCAGCAATCTTGAACGGAGTTGGTGGGGTGGAGGACGTCTCTGATGTGATGGAGCTAAAGTGGAAACATCTGCACTTTGAGCTTCTAGAGTGCTATGATTTTTGCTAGAATTGGGCGGTAGAGACTACAGCCCTATCTTGTTTTGTTAAAAAAAAAATAAGCTCATTCTGAATGGAGTGAGGATGGGGGAAGGCTTATGTAGGAAGTATATATGTGTGTGTATATATACTGTATGTGTATATATATATATATGTGTGTGTGTGTGTGTGTATTCAAATCAATAAAACGTGAACACCAGGAGTATAATAAACTAGAAAAGTTTAATATCATTAATAATCACCAAGCTTTCATTGGTAGCTTCCGACATCGTCAGGGCTAAATGCCAGTCCATGGGAGAGTTCCTTTATAGATAACATGTCGTTTGCGCCCGGCTCCTGGACCTTGTCACCAGTCTCAATTGATTGGGCTGCGCTCTAATTACAGCTTTCGTGCCGGTGACTAATCTTTTCTTGCCCCCCCCTGCCTACGTGTGTAATGCTGCTCATTCTCTCTGCGTGTAACTCTGGGCCAGGTGGACTCTTTCCCCCCCTTTTTTGGTTATTCAAGCTCCCCGTATCCCTCAACTCCTCCCCCCTCTCGCACTCCTTCGTTCCCTGTCCTGGTGGTCCTGTTGCGATGTGTTCTCTGTCCCCTTCCTCTTTTCCATGCTCCTCATTTACATACCAGTTGTTATCCCTTGTTCTATGGGGCCGTCTCTCCAACCTCTCACACCCTCTCCTTACTTCCATTCTCCCCTCTTCTACATCCACACGATCATCGTTCTTATAGTTGTTATCCCGTGCCTCCTCTGCTTCTCCCCTCCCCCCATCTCCGATGCCTTCAATTTCCCCATTTCCAATGCTCTCAGCCTCCGTATCGTCTCTAGTGCTCCGAATGTCACTCCGTTGCTCTCGCTGGTACGGTTGGGCCATCATTGAGTGGTGAGCCGGTCCAGTCGCCCTCCTCTCCCTTAGGTACATTCGGGTCGCTGTTGCTCCGAGCTGGCCCCTCCCCTTATCCTCGACACCTTCATGTTTCCGCGTCTCATCCTCTACATGGATGTCCCAAAAGCCGTCAGTCTGGCAACCCGGAGTCTCTCTCGGGGATATCACTTCCCTCCGACTCCTCAGGGGGTGCGGCGAGGTCTCCAGTGCACTAGCCGCCGCTCTTTCGCCTACCAGCGTCCTCCTTGCTTTCCGAGTGGGGGGGTCTCTAGATCGCTGGTCGTTCCTCAGCTGGATGCCTGTATGTGACGTAGCCTTTCCCAGTCGTTTCGGTAGGCCCGGGGGGATCTCTAGCTCACTGGATGTAGAATATATATATTCTACTGAATATATATATTCAGTAGAAGGAACCTCTGGTTATATGGGGACATAAATTTCTTTTTAAGGAAAGTTAAAGTTTAAACTTAATGCAAAACTATTTTTTAAAGGCATCACCTTAGAAGACATATACTCTTGATTGGTTTCACAGGAGAAAATATCTCTTATTTCTTTTTCGCTATTGAGGATTTGTGTTTTCAGGTCGGGCTTGGAGTTTGGATTACATAATCCCCAGCTGCTTAGATAGCTGTATTAGAAAATGTACATGTTCCCTGACTCCTTTTCTCTACTACTTTTGGAAATGTTGGTTTCCATTCCTTTATTACTATTCCTGATCTTCTGTCTGTCTTACTTTGCCCAATGCCATTGGTTCTACTGCAGGCAAATTTGGAGTTATGAAAACTAATTGGAAGCAAAGTGTACAAAAAGAAAACTACAGGGAGTCCTCAACCTATAACCATTCAGACAGTAACCGTTCCAGGTTATGACTGCACTGAATGAATAGTGGTTACAACTGGTCCTTGGAGTTCCAGCCATCCCAGCACCCCTGTGGTGTCAGGATCACAATCTGTATGCTTGGCAACCCATTCATTCTGACATTGCAATCACATAATCACCATTTGCAACCCTCTCTGCTGGCTTCATCAGAAAGTCAATGAGGAGCCAGCAGGGAAGTTTGCAAATCACTGGGCTAGGTCTCCCCCATCCACGCCTCTATTTCCAGCCCCTCTGTGCTCACGCCAGCCCACTTGTGCACGCTCCCTGACCCACGTGACACCTCTCACATATCCTCCCTAACCCTCTCTGACTCATGCTGTGTCTTTCATGTACACCCCCTCATGCACTCTCCCTTGTACCCTTGTACACCTGTGTCACATCTCTTTGCTCCCTTTCCAGCAGCAGCCACTTAACCTGCCTGAAAGCTTGGGACTTGCAACTTCCTGCTGGATTCCCAGAAGACTTTGTTGTAGGAAGTCAACAGGAACTTGTCTTGCCGAATGATCATGGGATTCAATTAATGGCAGCAACTGTGCCTGCAGGAATTGCTGTCACTTATCAGTTCGGTTGCACTTTATGACTGCATCACTTAGTGGTGAAAATTCCAGTCTCAATTGCTGTTGTAAGTCAGAAGCTACCTGTACTGTGGCAGAAGGTGCTATTAGTTCTATTTTATTACTAAAGCTGTGCCCGGCCACGCGTTGCTGTGGCTCAGTCTGGTTAAATGGAAAAGAAAGAAAAGAGAAAGCGCACGTTTGTAATATGTTTAATTTCACAATGCTTGTGGGTATGCTTTTACGTCCAACAGATGGCGCTGTTTTTCAAAAAAAGCATGTTTTTACCTGTCACAGGTGTGACATCTGTATAATAGTAGGTATATAAAAACACGCGCATATTCAAATGCAACGTTGTGTCAAAATTTCAAAGCAATCGGTGAAGAACTTTCGGAGATTTAAGATTTTGAACAAACGAACATTTACATTTTTATTTATATAGAAGATATAAGAGAATTTGTGAGCTATTAACATCTGTTCTTTCTTTGCTGATACACCTACATGTGGTGGGTACATTCCTTAACTACTCCCTATGTTTTTGCTTTCTCCAGGTTCCTGGTTCAGTTCAGACAGGACAAAGTGTGTGTGAAATTTATACGAAGCAACCAGAAAAATGGCAGCATCCCCACCTGCAAGCGAAAAAATAACAGACTTCTTGAAGTTGCAGTACCATAGTAACACACATCCATATCTTACATGGACATAATTCCTGCATTGGTGCAATTTTATCCATGGGAGGGAATTTTGTGGAATGGCGAAGAGCATTCTGGTAGTGGCAAATAGCTTTTCGGAAAGCTGTCGCTAAAAGATGCAACTAATCTTTTCAATGCACACGTTTTTAATTTTCAAATGGTAACTTTTGGTTGATATATACACTTTTTGGCTTCTGACGGTATCTTATGAGCAGGCATTTTTTTCTGTAATTCCTTTGTTTTTTATTTCTTAATGCTGCATGTTACAAACCCTCAGGCTTTTATGGCCATTCTTGATCTTAACTACCAGCTGTTTAGGTTGTCAGAATAGCTTGATGATGATCACTGTGTCATTTTTCTTCTTGGGATTTCTTCCATGGTAAAACTCAGTCCAAAGCATTAATCAAAAAGAAACATAGGAGCAGCTGACAGATTCTGAGACTGAAAGCTATATTGTTAATTGCAAACAGCAATAAGCCATATGTAAAATGATCTTTAATGGAACATAGACCAGGAAACCCTAATTCTGCAAAGCAGAACATATGTTTGATCATATATGCAGCACATCTGCATATACTTTTTTTTTTTTTTTGCAGTGGAAAAAAGCCAATGGTACTGCATTTTCTAATTGAGAACTTTTAATGACTTTACAAGGGGAAGGAGTTACAATAACCATGTAGCTCAAGACATGGTTTTGTGTGCTTCCTCCTATCCCCACTTTTAATATAACTTTTTAAGAATAATTCCAAAACATGCCATTGTCTGCATGGGAAAACAGAGGGTAAGTAATCTAAACTTGTTGAATGAAGGGTGAGAATACATGTTGTACCATGTGCAATAAAACATTCATACAACTTGTGAAAAATTATTTATAATAATATCTGTAGGTAATAAAAATGGTTGGGACATGTTGAGTATTCATTGTTATAAGGGCTGACACTAGCTTCACCGTATGCTAAATTTGTTCTCTGGATCTACACTACAGTTATCACTTTGAAGAAAACTATCATTTGGAGGACAAATATACATTTGATGTTAATGATGAATAATTGTAGTATTGTGCTATTTGGTACTCTTGTAATAACCATATTTTTGTATCTCAACTGGTTTTATATAAGTTGGTGTGCCTGATATGTAAAGTGTGCACAGAAGCACTTTACAATCAAGAACTGCGGTCTAAACTTTCCAAGTACCAGTTACATCTTCAAGACTTGTTTGAGCCAGGAGAATTAGCCAAAAGCATTGATTTTTGGAATGTTGTTTTCAAGTGTTTCAGTAGACATTAGCTAAAGGAGATGGCTGAATGTGTTTTATATTGTTCGTGTAAAAATGGTTTTAGATCTGTTGTATTCTCAGTCTGGTTAAGAATTTGCCTTCAAGAAGAGATTACTACCAAGAAGTGTGATGCTAAACAGCCCAAGTTTAAATAAAAAGAAGCTTTGAAGCAATTATTATTTGTGATTTTCACTTAGGATATTTATCAGATATAGATATATAGATAATGAATGCAATGGTAAGTTTCTCCTTATGTGAAAATGGCTTTTACTGATGGAATGAGAATGGACAAGACTGTGAGAGGGATCTTGGAGTCCTAGTGGATAATCACTTAAATAGGAGCCAGCAATGTGCTGCAGCTGCCAAAAAAGCCCATGCAGCTTAACAGAGGGATAGAATCAAGATCACATGAAGTGTTAATGTCACTTTCTAATGCCTTGTTAAGACTACACTTGGACTACTGCATCCAGGTTTGATCGCCACAGTGTAAAAAGGATGTTGAGACTCTAGAAAGAGTGCAGAGAAGAGCAACCAAGAGGTTTAGGGGACTGGAGGCTAAAATGTATAAGGAACGGTTGCTGGAATTGGGTATGTCTAATTTAATGAAGAGAAGGACGAGGGGGGACATGATAGCAGTGTTCCAATATCTCAGGGGCTGCCACAAAGAAGAGGGGTCAAGCTATTCTCCAAAGCACCTGAAGAGGCAGGACAAGAAGCAACGGATGGAAACTAATCAAGGAGAGAAGCAACCTAGAACTAAGGAGAAATTTCCCGACAGAACAATTAATCAGTGGAACCATTTGCCTCCAGAAGTTGTGAATGCTCCAACTGAAAGTAGAGGTTTTTAAGAAGAAATTGGACAACCATCAGTCTGAAATGATATAGGGTTTCCTGCCTGAGCTGGGGGTTGGACTAGAAGACCTCCAAGGTCCCGTACAACTCTTATTCTGTTACTCTGTTAAGACATTTGCTTACAACATTGGTTGAAATTGGTGCCTTTCAGATATTACTAAATGCCATCTGGCCTCCCTAGAGTGAACTGTGGCCAAAATGATAGGTGTTACAGCTCATCATCTGAAAAATAAAAACCTTCCATATTCTGAATTAGGGATAGAGCTGAATTTAGACATTTACAGGTGCAAAGTACACAAATTTACTCAAAGGCACGTGGAAATGAACTTTGAAGCGAAGATGATTGATTTCATTGCTATTGTGATAATTATCCAGACTTTCTGGGATCTGTTTGCTCACCTTCTCACCTATACTATTCTAATTTTTTCTCTCTCTCTGAATACACAAACACACACACAGAGAGGGGGGGGGAGAGAGAGATAAAGGAAGCATTTTTCTTTCCAATGCTGCAGTATCAGTCGTTTAGCTGTATTAAGAGCACATCCTCTGGTTGTCAAATTCCATGCACTAGGTAGATAATTCAAAAAATATCACCTGAATGTTTTACCTTTTGCCCCACGTGATTATGAAATATGTTGCCTGTTCCCCGTGTGTCCCATCTACTTACAGTGTATTGATGGCTTTGAAAAAGATAAAAGAAGAAATTTATAGGCCAGCAGAGAGATGAGAGAGAGGCAAGATAATTTTTTTTCCTCTGTAGATCAATACTCGCTGGAGTGAGAAAATAAAATATTCTTCATGAGGGGTGCTGGAAAAGCTTTTTTCCTTTAACTACAGTATTGGAAGCTAATCAGCTGAAAAGCCAAAGGAAAAAGAGCAATTAGCTTAATGTGTCTGAAGATGTAGCAGTTGAGGCAGTATGTAAGGCCTGGTGGGAGAGCGATGAGCAGCACACTGGCTGGGGTCTGCTGGTAGCTGGTGCAGAGAGAATGCACGGTACCAAGAGCCATGATGCCAGGCAGCAGTACCAGTTCCTAGCTAGGTTGGAGTGGGTTCCCAGGAGCAGCGCATGGTGAGATGGTGGTCAGAATTCCGAGGCATGCCGTAGGTCCTCCAGATCTTGTTAATAAGGCTCATAGAAGAGCTACAGGGTCCCCCCTAGATGATAAGTGCAGGAGGAGAAGGCAGAAAAGGCCTGGACTCCACAGAAGGCAGGTTGGGAAAGGGATTAGACTACTATTTTGTAAGCATATTGCTAGTGAACTGCCAGAATCGTGAGATTTATCACCCTTTTTACAAATGCCTATGCTTCTTCCTAAGTCAAAATTGTAACAGCCAGGACAAAAAGTTAATATGAAGTGAATTAATTACTATTGCTTAAATAAACTACTAAATTCATCTTGCTTGGTTGGACTATACAAAGACCATTTTTCAAAGCTTGGAAGACAAAATACTAGCGGGAGACAGGAATGAAAAAAAGCACATTGTACTATGCAAGGCACGCTGACACTTCCATATCCTAGTTTCTCAATGAAATTCCCAATCAGGATTTCAAACTACACATGAACATATCTCGTCAGTGTTACTGTGGGAATTGATAGTGTACACCTAGCAATAATTTCTGAACTGGTGTATGCGTGTACGTGGGAAGGGTTAAAGGATTTCTGTTGTACCATATTCACGAATCAAACCTGCTCACAATATATATATATAGATGCTCTTTGGTTTGTGGGATGAAGATTAATAATAGAATGGCCTTGCATCTCATTTCTTCTTACTCAGTGGCACCATTTGCCTTAAAATACTAAAATAGGGAAAACAAGCATACTTCAAGTTCCACCCACTTGAGCAACTCCTAAACAACATGGCTGCCCTTAGTGGAATTCTTGTGAGTGCCAAAGGGACTGGCCCATATAACTACCAGTAGTAGGTTTACTTGACTGACGTTCCACTGGATCTCTTTACAGAATTCATGGAGAGGAGCTGATAATCCATGGTGGCTCAATCTTCCTGCTCGTTTTCCCCTCCATGGAATGCTAAAGACTAGAGAAAAGAATGGATCTCGTGTACCCATGGGAACCCACTCACATCCTCTCCTTCAACAGTTAATGTGCCGCAAGAGACTAGTGCCTCCAAGCTCTTTTTTTGCTGACCTCAGCTAGCCTCTGCGGCTCCGAGGGAGAAGTGAGTAAGCTTGTTTCTGGCAGGGCCAAGGCAAACGCTGCAAGTCGGCTACAATTTGCTTGATCCATTTCAGTGGGCGGCTTGGGATAGCCCAGGGAGCTTTATGAGGTTTGGCCAAAAGAAAAAGAGGCCTCATAATGGGAGGGGAGATTTTACACATTCCTGCAGGAAAGACTGGCCGATCTCTCTTTTTCCCACAGCTCCTCATCAATTGTGGTGGGAAGTCCAGTGCGTTTTCTATGGATTATAAATTCTGCAATAAATTCTAACATGTAATTCTAAAGTGCTGCTTTATGCTTTAGCCATCTGACTTTCATTATGGGACATGCCATTTGGCTCGCTGTTTTAATTTTCCATTTCCATTTCTAAGAACTGGCCTGATGGGTATATTGTTGGAGATCCTTTCAAACCCCTATTGCTTCTGTTGAGGCATTCAGATAATACAGTTTTGAAGTGCTATAGTTCTCATTTATGGGCGAAGGAATGCAACACAAGCACAGGTCATGGCTACACATCACATTTGCCAGATTGCTTCTGCTCTGGCCGGAAAAAAAACTCAAAACAATATGAAGGGAAAGAAAGCCTGCAACCTTGACATGATACAAAACAAAATGACATTGTTCTACAAATTTGGATGCAGACTTATGATTTACTGTATGTGCAGTGAATTTGGCAGATACAAAATTTTGGATGTTTTCTGTAACTCCAGCTTTGGCAGAAATGAGAGCTGCCAAACGTTTCCAGTAGCACCTAAAAGTCTGTTTATTTTTGCTTTGGGGAATTGTGCTGACTTACAACTATTGGCGGAGGAAGGATTAGTGAGGTATGCTGGGTGGTGCAGCTCAGCAGTTCCATCCCTGGCTCAGATTCTGAATATATCCACATTCCAGTCTAAATTTGTGAGCTCAGAAAACAGGCAGGGGCTCCCCAAAAGTTATAATTATCGCGAGCAGACAATTTTTAAACATAATGTCCCCTTGGAAATATGAACTAAGTCGGAAATAAGATTAGTCACCCTCTCTTCCAAGAAAACTAGGCAAGGGGGAAGATAATTGCCCTATTAGCATTCAAGCGGAATTTCTCAAACTGAAAAGGAAGACTGGGACATTGCTATTATTGTTCCCTTAAGCAGAGGGTCAAAGGGGCAGTCTATATTGTAATTACACACTTTGGAAGGAAACCCTCCAAGAACTAGATGCATAGATGCCTCCCTTTAGATGTTACCTGCCTCCCCTCAATTCCGACTCATTCCCAACTGCCATAGCCACAATTTGGAGACTTGAAGTCGGATGGCCACAGTTCTGAGGCTTGCATGACAGCCCAAGGCCTCTTCCTACTTAAAAGGCTACAAGCAGGAGGAGGGAAGATTATGCCATCATTCTTCTTCAACTGCTATTGCTCTTATTTTCTCTTTGTAGCTCCAATGACCCCAAGTGCTCATTCAGCACAGTGAAATAAATCAGTGTTCATATTCCACAAGCAGCCATTATCCACCACCATTTGGAGACTAGTAACCTTGAATAAAATGATTACGCAGAGTGCAAAAGGGACAGAGGGAGGTGGCAACGGCAATATATTAGGGAATGATTTGAAATTCTTATTCTTTCTCTCTTATATTTCCTGAAAGACAATTTCCCCCCAAGACAATCCCCCCCCGAGATTATTCAAAGAATCACAGAGCTATATGTGCTATTGCTGCTTTTTTTTTAAAAAAAGAAAAAAATCAATTTTAATGAGAATGTGATTATTGTATTGTTGAATGTCAGTTTCTGAAGCTTTTTTGCCAGCTCAGCCACTTGAGAGGGACAGATTTAGGTCAGTGATAAAATGCATCTTTTGCAAGCAAGTCAGTCTTCATCAAGTCCAAAAAGGGCTGCAGATTTGTGCATCACCTCAATAATGGGATAGGTTGAATAATGCTTTCTGTTGGGGACATTATTAACAAATGGTTGGGAAACCTACAACATACTAATACTAATACTAATACTAATAATAGTAAAATTGGAAGGGATCTTGGAGGTCATCTAGTCCAACCCCCTGCTCAGGCAGGAAACCATATACCATTTCGGACAAATGGCTGTCCAGTCTCTTCTTAAAAACTTCCAGTGTTGGAGCATT